GTAATGAGCATTTGATCGCCCACAACTCGATATTGTGCGATTCACGGCATCGTCGCTGGCCTACGGAATCCGCTTCGCTTCGCCTCGAAAGCTACAAACAAGGCGGTCCGAGACCCGCAAGCTGTAGGAAGCCGAGTGCCGATTCCAATTTTGTCGGAATTCCTGGAATTGCTAGTATGGAGTTGTTATAGTCGCATGCATCTGCTACGTGCGTAGTCGTAGTTGCGGTGTGATTCGTGAAGGCGCGACGCATACCAAGGTGCAGTATTAGCCACATAACGGCAACTCCCCCAACGGCTGTCGACTTCGCAGTTTCCGTTTCTAACGCAAGGAAATTCCGGGTGTAGTAGCTTGCTTCAGTCTCTCCTTCCAAATCTCCGGGCTACACTGCAGAGCAGCAAGAAGACTAGAAGTGCACGCGAAGTTCGAGTCTTCGAGGTGCAGTCGAAGAACTAACAAACAAGGGCGATTTCCTAATTTGAAACTTTGCTCTTGCAGTTGACAACTGCCATTCTGAAATCCCGCATTTGTCTACTGGCAAGAGAGACACAAATGACAATTTCTCTTCTGAGATGTTACAACGCGCTGGAGGTCACCAACCACAACCAACTTGGCCCAAAAGCGCGGAAACCTGTGCTTCGGACCACTCGTAATATCTCATGAGAGTATTGTGATTTATCGCCAAACCTGTAGAGACAAGGTTTGGCTAGTTGTCGAGACTTGACTTGGGAGACAAGTTGATCTTTCCTTCCTAGAACCGCGATAAAAGAGAAGAACATAACGAGCTAGGCTCTCAGTTTGCCGCAAAACCGAGAGACCTTTCCGAGGGCCATCAAGAGGACTTTGAGCCATTTTTGAAGGATGGAGGGGGTTTGTAAGTCCGCACTAGAAGCGCCGAAAGAGGAATGAAACAAGACGCATCGACCGACTTGGCAGAAAATTCGAGGACCTTTTCTTGGTCTCTTCAACAGTCACTTGACTACCAGCACGCCCTACAGTCCTACGGACCTACGGACTCAGCCTAGTGTCGAAGTGCATTGAGCCGAAGAAATACGCGACCCGTTCTCCTGAGCCGTGGAGCTGGACGTGCCATCTGGTCGCGACGAAGTGCCCGTGGTTCTAGATCAGAGTCCGAGGCTTTGGTCGTTGGCGTTCACAGTAGCTCGGTTGAGGAGGCTTTCAGATCGGACCTTCATCCCTGCAACGAGTGAAAGCTTGGCTTTCACGAACACAGCCCCTCCACAAGTGCTTTCTTGGTATCCATACTTGTCTAGATCTGGATGCCCTGCACAAATGCACATCTTCGGAGATAAGCTTGTCTTGGTAAGACTGTACTAACAACCACTTTTTTGCGACGGGGGCACGGCCGTGGGTCCAAAAGATGATGGGGAGGAGGACAAAGCAGCAATACGTACTCGGTACACACACGACGACGAGCTCTTTTCGGGGTCTTGGTGACGCGGAAAGGGTAAACTATACATCAAGACCAGCCAGGCAAAAACAGTTGCTTCACATGTTGAGATGAGTTAGTCAAGCTTGGATTAAAATGGAAGCTTTTCTCTGCGCTTTCTCTCTCCTCAATTTGGACGGCGAGTTTGCGTTTGAGTTTCTGCGCAAAGTAGAGTCAGTGCACCCTGATCAGTAATCATACACAAAACTTACGGAAGATTGGACCCCAACTTGGTCAAGACGATGAATCCTTAGTTCGTTCGTCCTTTTGGCGTTTTCCCTTCCTTTTCCTCTTCGGGACCATGTCCACCTGGTCGGACCGGCCAACCAGTCGTGACCCGGCCGTTTCGACGAGAGGATCCTCCGCCCGTTAGGTTGGGTCAAGAGGACAGGGCCCGGAGGGTTTTCTTACTTCCAGAAGTTCCAGGGCATTTGCTATGTTCCCAAGTATTTGCTCCGTAAGAACATCTATCCGTACCCTTCCCTGTCCAATTGTAGGGGGACCTGGCCGAGACTCTTGAACTGCATCCACAGCATCCGACAAGCTCTTTCTTTAAGGTTTAATGAGCCACAAAAATTGGGCAAGCACTGCTGGGTACCCCTGCGTCGTACCCCAGCACCCCAAACCCGCAGCTGCCGAAGACAAGAGCAAAGTGCCGGTCAGGGAAGCTAGAAAAGGTACCTCCTTCATGGGTGACTCCACACCAATGTTCAAGGTCACGCCATAGCTGGGGGATGGAGGTAAGGAGATGAGGAGAGGCGAGAGAGACGGAAACCTAGAACGGTTAGCCTTTTTTTCCTGAACGAGGTCACTTCACCGGGTCCCTCTCTCCAGGTTCTTCTTCCCGACTACCACGACAACCGCCCTACGCCAGATCGACTCGGTTGTGCCTGGCTCTACTCCTTCTCAGCCTTATCATGTCGTGAGACCTGCAACGTCCACGCTGCTCATACAAGCATCTGGAACCTCCAACACTCTGCCATCATGGGTCTTGGCATTCTCGAGTCCAGGACTTTGGACAATGTCCCAGGTGAGTTGCCTTGCACGCGCGCCGGCCGCCCGTGTCCCCGCGCAGCTTCTTCTCAACGCTCTGCCCGCATTGTCCTCCTGTCATCCCATCGCTGACGACCGTCAAAACTCCAGGGACGACGCGCTACTTCGATGATCCAAACCGTCCCCAGACAGCGAACGATTCTCACCATGGACTGAAAGTCGACGCGAGCGGCGATGTGCCCATCATTCTGGTGAGCAGCCGACGGGATAGCTTCTGCGACATAGTCTGTGAACCTCCAGCTGACAACAAGCCCACTAGGTTCCTCAACCATCCGATGACCCCAACGATCCCCTGAACTGGCCCCTTTGGAAGCGAGACCTGATCACCTTTGTTCTCTCCATGACCGCCATCTTCGCGACCGCGCTCGGCCCTATTCTCGCGGCGAATACCGTTACGATTGCCCTCCTGTTCCGTACTAGCTTCACCCGCATCGCACTTTTGACCGGATACTTCCTTCTCGGAGTTGGTGCCGCAGCCATCTTCTTTGTGCCTTCTGCCCGAGTCTGGGGCAAGCGCCATCTCTTCATTCTCGGAATATGCATCCTCATTGCCTCGTCTGCGTGGGCGGGCTCTGTTGGCACGAGCTACTATTCGCTGCTTGGTGCGCGCATTGTCCAAGGTATCGGCTGTACTCCCTTCGAGACACTCGTAAATGCCGCCGTCGGTGATCTGTACTTTGTACACCAGCGCGGCTCCCGCATGGCCTTTACGAACTTGGCAGTGTTTGGCGGCGCCTTCTTCACTCCCATTGTTGTTGGCAAGATCACTCACAGCATTGGATGGTGGTGGACGTTTTACTTGGAGGCCATCTTTTGTGCTGCGTGCCTCCCCGCCGTCTTCTTCCTTTGCCCTGAGACAGCCTATCGTCGGGACATTGCGCTCAACACGGATATGGCTGCTGAATCCATCGAACTCACTGACAACAAGACATCTTATGTCGACGGCCCGGGTAGCAGGTCCAGCGACCACGAGAAGCTGAACCCTACGTCTGCGCCCTATGGATCAGGCCTGGAGGCTGTCCGAGGAGCGGGAGCTCAAACTCCGAAGAAGACATTCGTTCAGTCGCTGGCTTTGTTTGATGGTCGCAAGACGGACGAGCACTACTGGAAACTGCTGCTTCGCCCGTTCCCGCTCATCGCCCAGCCCGCCTTTCTGTGGGGATGTCTGATTCAGGGCACCATGATCGGTTGGACAGTTTTCATCGGTGTCATTGTTGCTGCCCTCTTCTTGGGGCCTCCTTACTACTGGAATGAGGTATACGCTGGATACGCCTACGTTGGTGCTTTCGTGGGAGCGCTCGTTGGCTTCATCATTGCTGGCGCTTTCTCCGACTGGAGTGCCAAGTTCTTGACTCGTCGCAACAATGGCATCTACGAACCCGAGTTCCGTATTGTCATGGTGCTACCCATGTTCATTATCGGTTCCATTGGCCTCTACGGGTTCGGCGTCACATCTGCTGGGCTTTCAACTAAAGAATACCACTACAGCATCCCGCTCGTATTCTTCGGCTTCGAGGTTGCTGGTATGGTCATCGGGGCTGTGGCCAGCTCTCTATACATCGTCGATGCCTACCGCGACATGGCCATCGAAGGCTTCACTATCATGATCATTTTCAAGAACATCTTCAGCTTTGGTCTTACGTTCAGTGCCTATGACTGGATCATCGGGGGTGGTATCAAGCCTACAATGATGGCCATTGCCAGCATTCAGGTTGTTGTTTGTGCCACGAGTATACCAATGTGTAAGTCGCCGATCTGTTACGCCGTACGAAACAGAAAGCTAATTACTTGTAGATCTCTATGGCAAACGCATCCGCGCTTACTTCCATCAACATGATCTGCTGAAGTTGACTGGGCTGCGCTGAGCAACCAGTGTGTTCTTTTCCTTTCTTGTTCGATTTGATGTCCGATCTAGAGAAAGACACCCGTCCCCTTACCTCTAAGCACACGCCCAAAAAAAGCCTGAGTGCGTTTTCACGCTCACGTGCGGGCCGTGGGTGCGCCATTGGGCGTCCAGATATACCCTACATCTACCATACTCCATAGTACCATATAGTAATGCCTAGTTCCGTATAATGACCCAAGAGGCCTCCCGATAATTGTGCGTAAGCACCAGGAAGAGTGCGGAGAGTTTTATTCTCACCGTTTTTGCCGATTCTGCCGCTGGCTTATTGTGGTCTTGCTTCCGACGCTATGACAGAAGGCCCGATCTTCCGTGCATCTCGGGAGGGGCATCTTTGGCTCCCGGCGAACAGACGCGTATAGTTTGGCCGAGATGGACGTCTTTTACACGGATGTATGCCCGCCTCCGCGTTGTAGGGCTTTGGGGTGCTTTGTGATGCCCGCTTCCAGGGTTCCCATCCGACATGTCAGTGCTGGGTGGAAGGTATCGCGATATCTTGGGAGATGGTTTGTACGGGCTGGCTTGTTGCAAAGTAGGGAGGCATGGGTTCTTGATGTATTCTCAACGTTCATTTTTCAGGTTCATACTTTTATGGTGCTGAATAGATGTTTGTATGTGTGTGCGTGCTATGCTATGCTGCCTATACCCATGCTATTCATGCTCGTATCCAAGACATCTCTCTCTCTCTCTCTCTGTGGCCGCCTGGAGGCGATGCCTTTACATGGAAACAATACTCATCACCTATTTCCAACATTCTCTTCAGTAACATAGTATGCAGTAACATAGTATTGCAGCAAAAGAATATAGTATGCGTATTTGGTAAGGGGGGTATATGTCAAACATATCGTAGAGGGTTTTCTTTCATATAGCAAAACAACCATATTCTCAAACAAGAATCAAAACATGCGTGGTGTTCCGATCCGACAACAGGGGGTTGGAAGAGATAAAAAATAAAGAAATTGCACAACGCTTCGCTGACATCCATTCATACACATCATTTTGTCGTAGTTTTCGCCCTCTGTCTTCTCTCTCTCTGTGTGTGTTTGTGTGTGCGTGTCTCTTCAACCAGTCAGCTTTCTCCACCAACTGCTCCGCGGCGTAGCCGTCGCATCGGAGAACATGGCCTGCCGACGCCGCTCGTCGCTCCCCTCGGAGCCGCCGCCGCCTCCGGCACCCCCGCTACCGCCGTACGTCCGACGCTCACGCTCTTCGCGCCGGGCTCTACGGCGGCGATCATCGGCCTCGTCGGCAGTGCCGTCCTCGTACCTGGCCCTGCGACGTCGCTCGCGCCGTTCACGACGCGCCTCGTCTTCGGTCTGGGGCACGGCGTCCGTCTGTTGTCCGCCGTCATCCGGAGGCGGGCCGGCGTCGGTGTGCTCCTTGACCCACGATGACGTTCCAGAGTGGGGCCACGCCGGCTTGGACTCCTCGTTGCGTCTGTACCGGTGTCGCGAGGAGTGCATGCCTTCGTCCCCGGACTCCCGGGTTCGCCGGCTGGAGCGGTGGTGATACATCTCTTCTGCGTCGGTGCCTTCGGCCGCGGCACGCGCAGCACGCCTGGCTTCCTTCCTGGCTCTGCGGGCTTCTTCTTCGTCCATCGGTGGTGGCGGCGGCGCCGCTTCGCGATCGCGAGCCTCGCGGGCTCGTCGACGTTCTTCCCGGGCTGCGCGTCTTGCATCTGCGTCAGCATCCGCTGCCGCGGCGGCCTCGCGCTGCTTCCGGACTCTTCGCCGTTCGGCACGCTCAGCCTCCCTATCTTCGGCCATTCTCCGTTCCTCTTCCTCGCGTTGGTCACGGTGCCCGCGAGAGCGAGCCGCGCGCCGCTCCGCACGTCTGAGCTCTTTCTCCTGCTGCTTGCGTGCTTCGGCATCCTCTTCGTCTCTCCTACGGTGGCGCTCGCGCCGAGCCTCTTCTTTGGCGGCGCGGCGTGCCTCTTCGGGATCCGGCTCGACGACCTCGGCCTCGGCCGCCTCAGCATTTCTGGCTGCACGACGAGCACGGCGAGCAGCGCGGCGAGCCTCTTGGTCCATGTCGGTCATCGCTGCGGGGTCGGCTTCGTCTGCATCGGCATGGAATCGTTGACGGCGTTCGCGCCTGGTGTCATCATCGGTCGCATAGGTATGTCGCCTTCGCAAGGGGTCCGGACGCTCCGTCTTGGGTGTTCTGAGGCCACTGAAGAGGCCTCCGAGACCCTTCTTCGCACTCGAGCTGGATCGTTTCATTGGTGGTGGCTCGGAAGGGCCATCGGGGTCCACCATGACAAGGTCATCGTCTTTAGCGTATCTAGATCGTCGGCGCGATGACTTGGGAGGGCTGCCGTCCTCGCCGTCACCATTGGCGCCGACCATGACAATATCTTCGTCCACAATATGATCGCGCTTGCGGCGCCTGCTGCTGGACTTGTCGACTCCAAGCACTTTGGCGGCTTTGGAGGACATGGGAGGTGGAGGGGCTTCCTCGGGAGGTGGCGACACCAACCCGCTCGCGTCGACCGAATGACGACGGGACGGTCTGTGTCGCCGGTCCCGGGTGGATGTCGTCCGGGAAATGGGCGGGGTGCTGAACATCGACATGAGTTTCGGCCGTGCTGGTGTCTCAACGTCTCTATCGGCGCGGTCGCCCTTGCCGGAGCTTGAACCCTTGGAGGAAGTCTTGACTTTTTCCTCGTCGCCGTAAGCGTGTTTCTTTTCGCGTCTTTCGGATTTTGACTTGGATTTCCGGTCTCTGTCGCGGTCACGATCACGTTCGCGATCGCGATCTCGATCACGGTCTCTCTCCTTCTCGCGAGGTGAAGCCGACCACATACCCCACGAGGAACCTTCTCGGTTGATTTTCGCCCGGTCCTTCTTGCTCGACTTCGGCTCAGGTGGAGGTGAGATTGGCTCTTCCTCAGCAGCGGGTTCCTCCTCAGGCACAGGGTCTTCAGGAGCCTCAGGGACGGCCGGAGGCGGTGGTGGAGCTGGTGGAGGAGGGACTTCCTCGGCGAGTATGTCCCTATCTCTGTTCTTCTTACTCTTCTTTTTCTTCTTCTCCACCGGCATTTCAATCACTTCGATGATCTCGTTCTCATCCTCTTCGACGGGGAAAGCTCCAGGTGGCTCCGAAGACTTGTTCTCGTCAGCTGGTTCTTCAACGTCGACTAACGGTGGCTCCTCGACAACAGGAGGAGGCGGTGGCGGCGGAGGAGGCGCGGATGCAGCTTCGGCAGCGCGCTTCTTCTCCTTTTTTAGTCGCTTTCTCTCTTCCTTCGACAAGACGACGGGGGGAGGAGTTGGCGGTGCGGGTTCCGGTTCCTCGGGTGGAGGGTCCTCCGGGGCTGGCTCTTCTGGTGCTGGCTCCTCAGGAACAGGTTCCTCTACAACGGGCTCAGGTTCGTCTTCCGGCGGCGGGATTGGTTCAAATGCTTTTAATCTGTCAGTAATCTTGCTTCCTTTGCCCTTTCGAGCCGTAGACGGTTGCATCCAGGACAGGGCATCGTTGTTTGTGGCGGATGATGTAGTCGTGTCATTCCAACCGAGATTCGCACCTTCTAGACCTATACGGAGATGAGTCAGCAGTGTAATCTCAGGTGACGCCCGTTGAGGCGTCTCATTTCCAATAGGCTTGGTGAGACTTGGTGGTGTGGTGGTGTGAAGAGAGATTGGCTGCGAGCCTGAGGCCACATACCTTTCTTCGACTTCTTAGTGCCAACGCCCCAGAAACTGAAGGCATCGTTGGATGGCTTTACTTCCGGCGCCGGGGGTGGTGGAGGAGGAGCAGCTTCCTCAGGCTCGGGATCGGCCAGGAGCTCCTCGATTTGGTCCTCGGTCAGCTCAATGTCGGCCAGCTCGTCCTCGTTGTCGACGTCCTCGACTGGCGCCGGCTCCAGCTCCGGCTCCGGATCCTCTTCCTTCTCCTTCTCCTTGTCCTTGCTTTTCTTGTCCTTCTTATCCTTCTTCTCCTTCTTTTCCTTCTCTTTCTCCTTCTCCTTTTCTTTCTCCTTTTCTTTCTTCGACTTGGACTTGGACTCCTTCTCCGACTTGGAGCTTTTCTTCGCCTTCTTCTCCGCTGCTTCAGCTTCCTCTCGCTCACGTGCCGCCTGCTCCTCGGCTTCCTTGGCAGCAGCTTCTTCGGCTTCCTTGGCGAGTCGCTCTTCCTCTTCGATGCGAGCGGCTTCTTCAGCTTCGGCGGCGGCGGCGGCTTCGGCATCCGCAGCAGCTTGGGATGCGGCGGCGCGCTCGTCGATCGATGCCTTGAGCGTGTCGTAAACACCCTGGTCCTTCTTGGTCAACTTGCCCTTCTTGAGCTTCTTGGCCTCCAAGGCAGCGAACTGCTCCTCCTCGTCCGCAATCTTTGCAGCCTCCTCTTCCTCGATTCGTGCCTTCTCGGCTGCCTCAGCCGCCTCCGCTGCCGCGGCCTCCTCTGCTTCTTGTGCAAGGCGTTCTTCCTCCTCCTTGGCAGCGGCCTCAGCAGCGGCGGCGGCAGCCTCCTCTTCTTCTTTGGCTAACCGCGCTGCTTCTTCCTTTTCAGCCTTCTTCTTTTCTTTCTCGAGCTTCTTGAGCTCCTTCTCGCTCAGCTTGGGCTCTTTCTTGGACTTCTCCTTTTCCTTGTCTTTATCCTTATCCTTGGACTTAGACTTGGAAGAGGTCATGTCGCCCCAAAAGCTGGATTTCTCTTTCTCAGGTTCTGCTTCTGCTACAGGCTCAGCCATGTCCAATGAGGGAGGGGTGGGAGCTTCCGGTGGAGGGTCGGCGAGTATGTCCTTACGGTTCTTAGACTTCTTCTTGGAGGATCCCCAGGCGGCCCAGTCATCGTCGTCTTTGGTCTCCTCGACGGAATCCGGTTGTACGGAATCCACGTTGGGCTCCTCGTCCACGACTTCAATGGGCTCGTTCTTGGATTTGTCCTTCTTCTTCTTGGAGGACGAGGTTCCCCAGATGTCATCTGTGGGCTCCTCAATTGCATCGGGCTTCATAGAAGCGCCTTCGTCGGCGTCGGCTCCCTTCTTCTTCTTGTCTTTCTTGCCACCGATGTTCCATGAGCTGAAGAAGCCGCCGCCATCCAGGGGGTCGGCAATGTCTGGTACGGCAGGAGGGGCTTCCTCGGCAGGGGTAGGCTCGTCCTCTCCGCCAAACTCAACCAAGGCCATGGCATCTTTCTTCTTCTTCTTCTTGTCCGACTTGCTCAAGCCAGCCCATTCATCCTCTTCGACCGCTTCAGCCTTCGGTTCCTCAGCTTCCTTATCGGCCTCCTTGCTCTTCTTCTTCTTTTCCTTCTCCTTATCTTTGTCCTTCTCTTTCTCCTTCTCCTTGTCTTTCTTGGAGGAAAGACCCCAAATGCCCCAAGAGTCGTCTTTGGACTTTTCAGCTTCGGCCTCCTTCTTCTTCTTTTTGTCCTTCTTCGAACTAGTAGCAGCAGCCCAGAAGTCGTCGTCATCCTTCTTTTCAGGTTCCGGCTCCGCTTCCTCGGCTGGGGGACCAGGCGCCGGTTCTGGTACAATCTCGGGTTCGGGTTCGGGATCCGCCGATTTGCCCTTCTTCTTCTTCTTCTTGTCCTTCTTGGAAAGGCCGAAGCTTGCCCAGTCATCGTCCGCTGGTGGTTCTGGCTCTGGATCAGCAGCAGGAGGCTCGGGCGCAGGTTCAGGAATAGGTTCCGGCTCGGGATCGGCAGTCTTGCCCTTCTTCTTTTTCTTGTCCTTTTTGGATCCTGTTAAACTGGCCCAAAAGTCATCTTCTGCTGGCTTCTCCGGTTCAGGCTCTGGCTCCGGTACTGGTTCCGGCTCGGGTTCAGGTTCCGGTTCCTTGGGAGGTTCAGGTTCGGCAAGAAGGCCCTTCTTCTTTTTCTTATCCTTTTTGGATGTCACTGCACCGAAACCCCATGGGTCATCCTTTTTCTCTGGCTCAGGCTCTGGTTCAGGGGCTGGAGGGGGTGGAGGAGGAACCGGTTCGGGTTCTGGTTCAGCTTTGCCCTTCTTCTTCTTCTTGCTGGTTTTAGTTGATACACCCCATCCAAAGTCGTCCGTAGCTGCTGCTTTGGCGGCTTCCGCTGCTTTCGCCGCCTCTTCGGCTTCTGCTGCTTCTTTGGCGGCTTGCTCTTCAGCCTCTTTTGCTAGTCGTTCCTCCTCTTCCTTACGGGCAGCCTCTTCCGCTTCGGCGGCGGCGGCGGCCTCTGCTTCGGCAGCAGCAGCGGCCTCGGCGGCTTTAGCAGCTTCGGCCTCGGCAGCAGCGGCGGCGGCAGCCATCTCCTTCTTCTTTTTCTTCTTCTGTGAATTGGTCAAGCCTGCAAAAGGATCAACGGGCTCTGGCTCGGGTTCTGGAGGCGGGGTAGGTTCCGGCTCGGGTTCTGCCACCGGGGGAGGTTCAGGTTCAAGGTCGACTAGGCCTTTCTTCTTCTTCTTCCCCGATAATGTTCCCCAACTCCAAGGATCCTCGTTAGAGGCTGGCGGATCGGGCGCCGGCTCAGAGACTGGTTCAGGGGCCGGCTCGTCCTTACTCTTCTTCTTCTTACCAAGTCCCCAGGTATCCCACAGGTCGTCTTTCGGCTCCTCTTTGGGGGGGTCGTCCTTCTTCCCCTTCTTGGTGGTACCGCCCCACGAACCCCATGGGTCGTCTGCAGGTGTCTCCTCCTTGGCTGATTCAGGAGCCTTGTCCTCTTCCACCGCATCCCAGATACTGGCTTTCTTCTTCTTCTTGTCTTTCTTTGTAGTCGCAGTGCCGAAACCCCACGGGTCATCTTTCTCCTCTTTCTCCTGCGGCGGGTCGGGTGCCGGTTCCGGGTCAGCTGGTGTGTCGTCGCCGAACGAAAACCCCAGTGTGGTGCTTTTCTTCTTCGTTTTGCTTTTGGAGCCCCATGGATTTGAATCGGCGTCTTCCTTTGCCTCCGCTGGCGTACTTGTGGCTGCATTCTTGTTAGCGCCAGACCAATCCCATGTGTTCCCTAGTCCCGTGCCTGTTGTTGTCCAATTTGACGCTCCCAATCCCCAACTGAACCCCCCTGACTTCTTGGTCTCCGTTGAGCCAAAATTGATGTCTAACGACCCGTTGCCGCTGCCTATGTCGTCCAGTTTTATTTCATCGAATGAATCAGGTGCCGGTTCGTCAGCCTTTTTGCCCTTCTTCTTGGATTTCGTGGTTGCGAAGCCCCAGTCATCTTCCGGGGGCGGATCGTCTGCTGGTGGTGTTTCTTTGTCGCCTCCATCGCCGTCGCCCGCAGCGCCGCCGTCGTTACCTGCGTCACCGCCCTGATCACCTCCATCGCCGGCGCCTTCGTCTTCCTTCTTCGCGCCATCATCATCGTTATTGTTGTTTGCCGCCGGCGCCTTGGCTGGCGCCTTGTTCTTCTTCTTCTTCGCCGCTTGCATGAATCCTTCCTCGGAACCAAAGTCGATGAGAAAGTCGATGAGAAAGTCGCGTGTAGGATCGCTGAGTATGGCGTCGCCGTTTCGTCGCTGTCGCTGTTCTGTGCTTGAAGTGTGCGGTTGGGTGAAGAAAGAGAAGTCTGATGGTCGTCGACTCGCAAAACCGCCAGTGTTCGTCGGGTCCATGACTTGCTCGCATGGCTCGGACGGCTCAGAGGGCGCTTCAAATCGTCGCAACCATCGCGGGCCGCATTCTGGTGCTTTCAACGGAGTTGAGATGTTGCATGTGGTTTTGAGGGGTCGTCGATGATGGGATGAAATCTAGGGATGTCAGCGGATCAGATTAGCTCAGAAGTTCATCTGAAAGGCATGTGTTAGTGGAATGGGGGGTGAGACGGCGTCATGCCCCTCACGTCCCCCCGACTCCCGTCCAAAGGCTTTCCGGACCAGCCATGGCAGCGAACGGTAAGCCGTTAGACTTGGGGACGAGCGCTGAGGCGTCCAGGCTGGAACGGCGCCGGCGCGCACAAAATTCCAGAGTAAACAGGAATTGGAGAAAACCATGACGGCAGACGAAAAAGTCTCGGGTCGTACCTGAGCATTGTGTGAAGCGGATTCCCAGGCGCGGGCGATCATGCGCAAGCGGATGCGCACATCTTCCTCAGCCCAGCCAGTCGTCGTCGATTGCTGGGTTGACTTCCATCGATATACGCCTTCTGCCCGCCCTGATGGGGAGAATGTGGCCACCGCGACCGCCGCCATGTTGAGAAGTTGAGCTCGTGTTGCTACAGCTTGGTGTGAGAATCATGGAAGCTAAATCGGTTCGGAGGAGAGAAACGGCTGATGAGGGTATATCGGTGTATAGCTCGTGGTTTTTGTCGTGGTCGTCGTAATCGTAGCAGTCGTTGTACGCAGTGTAGCGGGAAAACAAGCGGGTTCGTGCTGGCGAGAGGAGGGGGCGGGTCGATGAAACGAGAGTTGAACAGGACGTGAGAGGAGTTCACCTGCAGATATAAACCTCCAGACTGTGTATTCGTACGACCGAGGCGAACTGAGACAGGTGGTGCAAGTCAGTAAGGAAGAAAAGAAAAGAAAAAACCTCCAGGGACTGCTACTATGGTGGGAGATGTAACTGCGCAGGCTGGGTGGTGGGATGGTCGGCTCGGGTGGCCGCAAAAGAGACGGAGCACTTTTGCGGTACGCAGCGGCGCAAGGGACCTAGGATCTGGGGGTGGTGACGGGTAAGGTGAATTGGGGGCAGGGAAGAAGAGGGGACCAGCGGATGGATAAGATATGGCAGGGCAGGGAGGAGGAAATACACTCGCCTGTTTCTTCTTGTTCTTCTTTTTTCTCCCGCCTTTGCCTACAGGTATGTTCCTGGTCCCCTGCTCAAAATTGCCGGAGAATTGGACGATAACGGGCCAAGTCGAAGCGATAGCAGGGATGTAGCTCTTGGTGTCACAGGCTCACAGCTTGAGAAAGTCGCCGCCGTCGCGTCTGATCGCCGGGGAAATGGTCCTGGATTGAAGCTGTCCTAAGAGAGAGAGAAAGAGGTCAATCCGCCAGTTTCTTGATTGTATTCAACTACGACTTTCAAGCCGTTCCCATCGCCCCTTTTTCTAAGAAGATGACTCTCTCTGGAGGAGGTGAGGTTGAATTGGCCATATGCAAGAAAGGAGCAATAGGAACGCTGGATGTGACCCGGCAAAAAAGGAGAGGAGAGTCAAAAAAAAATCATTTCTTACAAGCCACTTCCTTCACAGGGAGCCAATGGGTCAGCGCGTTGACGCTAGATCGTCGCGGCGAAGGCGAATAGGTGGATGGATGTGGTTGCAGACCGCCAGATATCTTGCAGGAGGCAGGCAACGTAGGCCACAGCCTGCACTTGGGATTGGTGATGTCGTTGAGGTCGTGCTTTGCTTGGTTCCGACTCGTGAGCTGAGCAAAAGTATTCCGTACTTGTTCGGAGATGCGATTCGGATGGTGGTGTGAGTAAGACGCCGTCGTCGTATTGTCGAGCCCGGGCCCGGCCAGCCAGACGTTGAGGCAATTGACCGAACGGGACGTGTTTGTTGTTAATGAATAGCCCGCTTGCCTACTCTGCAATTAGTTTACAATATGTTACCTTGATGTACGCCTTCTTCCACCGAGGGCGATTTGTCTTTCCGCTCTCTTCTTCAGCGAAGTTGGTCAGAAGTTTCGCCCTGTCGTGCAACAGAGAACGCCGCAAGAATAGTAGAAACAGATGGGAGAAGCATGAGCGGCGGCGACCGCCTTGTATACAGGGAAGGTGTACACAAGAACTAATGCAAGACGGGAGTCAACAATCCAAATGAGGAATACAAGGGCAAGATAATAAGGTGAGTCTGCAGACAGAGAAAGACAGAGTCAGTACTCCGTACTTGGTACCTTATGTGAGGTAAAGGTAAAGCGAGGTAAAAGGTAAGGCAGGACGGAAAGAATAATTATGGATATTGATGCTGTATGCACGTCTATGCGATCCATCCGACCAGCCATGTCCCATCCATCATCCATCAAAACCATCCTATCAGGACCAATCCACACGCATCTTTTATCGCGTCCAGTCTCAGTCTCCCCGTGGTTGCTCCTCCGTCTCCTCCGTCTGTCTGGGTGCTGTCGCTGTTCCCGCCCCCATTTGCTCGCCGCCTTCTCTCTTCCCCTGGCCCGCTCCGTGGACCGTATGGGTGTATGTGCGTGTGTTCGTGTACGTGTGTGTGTGATGTACATGGCGATAGATCCCGAGCAACGGCATGGCCCATGATGGGTACCTTGGGTGCTTAGCCCAGAAGGGGGAGGAGGTGCCACGGCAAAAGCGCAGCAACCCACCCACTAAGCAGACTGTGACAGTACAACTCCAAAGTACCTCACTCTGGGAGTCTGGAAAAAGGTGGTGATCCCTGGCAGTGTGGTCGGTTAAGAAGGGCGGCTTCGGCGCTTCATTGGCCGAGTTAGTGTGATATCAAGTGTCTCGAGACTCAGAGAGATGGCACCCCCTGCACGCCGGAGTCGTTTGACTCGATTCACACCACCTTAGCCCCTCCCCTCCTCTTCAGCCTGCCGCCCAGCGGCCCAGGTGATGCCATTTCTCCAGGATGCCGTCCGCTTCAAGTGGGCATTTGGGCAGCACACTCTTACGGAGTATGTACTTACACAGTAGACTCTTAGTCTTAGTACGCGCTGCGGGAGCCACGAGGGCGGACTCTAGAATGTTTAGGTAACCACGAGGTCAGCAGGTCCTGGATATCAGGTGCATCTTGTTTCCATTCCATGTTGAACAAGCAGCGGAACCAGGGCGGGCAGAAATTGAATAGGAAGGTACCCAAGGAAGGGATTGGATTATGAGGGGGGAAGAACTGTAGGTAATTACTCCGTAACCGTAGAAAAGGCACCGGCTCTGAGGTAAAACGCCCTTGCCGCCACCAGCTGCGTTCTCACGTGGGATACATCGATACCTTTTACTTCCTTCCCTTACCTTACCGTACCTTATGAATAGGTAAGGTACCTAGGCTGTTACTGCCTTCCCTTTCTGATGCCGTCGCTTTACCTCTTTCTCCAAGGTACGGAACCTATCCAAGAGCTCTTGGCTTTTTCGGCGTGTCTCCGTAGGTAGAATTCCATCCCAACCTTAGCACAGGCAAGCGCAAGTATCTAAGGTATCTATGGAGCAAGCACCTTTCTAGCGCTGGAATAAGGCAATAATAATACCTGACTGGTGGTCTCGAGGTTGACAATACATACAACATACAAAACCAACAAAAGTAGGTAGTAAACAACTCTTTCTGGACTCGGGTTCCTTGACTAGCAGGATCCAAGGACCCTACGCACACCTGCGTTGGCTCTCTTGATCCCTCTTCCCTGCTGCGAAAAACTCACCACCACCACCAGCCTTTCCCGCTTGGGTCTTCGCTGCTGCCACATGCTAGTTTCCTTCTCGAAGCTGCGGTCTTCCATGTTATTCATGATGACGCGCTGCTGTCAACTACACAACTTCAACACCACCCACCGCTCCAACGCATAGGAAAATCTCTTTCAGCTCGACTGCCGCAATCAATAGGTACTCAAATTTTCGAACTGCTCAATATCCCTGTGTATCACAGTTCCCGTCAGAAAAGCCCTTATCCGGTAACGCCCGGGCGCCCTCGTCTTCCTTCGGATTTACCTCTCTCTGCACCAGTCTACCATACGGCCTGGATGATGGTCGGAGGTTCATCGCCTAAACCGCTCAATTGCGGAGGTACATGGTCCTCCAGCCACTCGCCCCCAGTTACCCATGTACCTTCCAATTAACACCAACCCCGCCAAGCAAGGGGACTATTGAGACTCAACTCCCTTACCCATTTCTCGCGACCTGCGGCAAACGGGATTGGGCATTGAAGAGAGGGCGTGCAGCCATGCCGTTAAATTTATTGATGACAGGCAGGCGCGGCCTATGCATCTGCATCTGAATGGCGAAGCATGAAATGCAGGCGCATCAAGCTCGCGGGGGAGAGAAGAAAAAGCGGCAACACCATGCCACCATGTCCATCATCATTCGGTTCCTACGCCAACTTACTACATACAGATCCTTCCCTCCCGTCTACCTAGACTTAGGACCGTCGTGACGGAAGCGGGACGAACCCAAAGTCAGGGAAGAAAAGGGAGAAGTCGCCTTCAGTCAACGAGACGTTGCGTTGCCATGCGGACAACGGCTCGGCCAGCATGCTACGCTCTAGTATCGATGCAGCGACGCACCAGGCCGTGAGGTATCGATACATTACCGGCTGGGCAGCCATGCGCCTATTAGCATGGAATGACCTCTCCTAGGCCTGGTATTCGTACCTTTCAAATACACGAGGGCTCCATCTGGCATCTGTACGATGGCCGATGAGCGTCCAGTCATCGTCGAAGCAGCCCCAGGGCCGCCAGCAGCTTGCATCTCGACGGGTGTGCTCGCAGGGTCACTGGCCTGCGGCGCTGCGCTGCGCATCGGGAGCTAACATGCCCTTCATGCACATCCCAAGTCTGGCCCTGTCTAAGGAGATGCGACTTCATCTGTCTACTGGATCATTTCGTCTACACGCGTCCCACCTCCATCATCGCATGGCGCATCTCTATCCACTCATCCCACGAGTGTCGCCAAAAGCGGTATGGCGGCTCCCTCACCGCTTCAACTTCTCAACCCACCTCTGGGCGAACTTTGCACCAACCAGCCACGCTGAATTATCATCTCTACGGCTACCCGTAGGCTTTGGACCTTTCGGGATGCCGCAGATTTCCATCGCCCGTCTTCGTTGTCAGTTTCGATGACAGAAGAGTCCAAGGCGAGCAAGACAGTCTCAACACTAAACAAGGAATGTGTCAGTTTGGGGTACCTGGCGTAACTCAGGTAGAGACCCAGAGGAAATAGTGCGCTCGTGTCACGATACTAAAGCACAATGGAGACTTCTTGAGGAACGGCGTCAGGCATGATCACAACAAAATATTGCCTCTCCCTCACAACCTGCCTGCTGGCTTATTCTCCAGCATCGATCAACTAACACGCAGTTGTCAGACGGTGTAGACCAATTCCTTCCGGACGGACTACGAGCATCTCGCGGCTTCTTCTGGCGGTCAGACCTGAACTGGCCACAGTTGGCCACCTCGACAATGGCCGTCATCCATGGCCTTTGGTCAGGTTGAAACTATGGGTCGATGGAGGAGACAGCGCAGCGAAATGCAATATCACTGACTTGGTTAGCTGCAGATTCGACTCGTTCTGCTCTAGAACCCTGTCGACGCTTTCGGAATCAAGACTTGGAGTGCGATTCCCAAGAGGCAAATTGTCTTTCTCGGTGATGGCCATTGAGTCATCGGCTGAATTGCGCTTACGGTGACCATGAAATCATTACTTTGCTTGACGAGTGTCGTTGGCAAAACACCTTCTAGGTTCACGTTCAATTCTTTGTCTTTGGCCCTACCAGTTTTCATCGGAGCATCAACTACAGATCAACCCTCGGGTGCACCTCGATCCAACGAAGCCGAGAACTTGCATCAACAACTGCCCATGGTAGCTGGATAAGGCCGCATGTACTTCTTCGGCCATGTCTCAGGTCGCGTGACGTTGACTCAGAGGCAACCAGAGGAAATTGTACTCTAGGGAAGAGGACCATTCGGCACCAGTCGGGGAATCGCCTCAGTTGCAATCAACGAGGATGAGCTTGACGGTTCCTTGTTACCCTACCCTAGACTCCCACTTCGAGATCAATCTGTGAATCGGAGAGCTTGAGTGGTGGCTTTGAGATTCAGCAGCATTCTCATGTTGGGATTCTTGAGGACCTTGCATTCCTTCTTGTGGTTCTTGCCCTCCCAGGCCTTCTTCTGACACGCCTGCAGCTCGTCAGCATTTACGTTCAGAATCGCACCACGACAGTAACGTACGGTATCACAGTAGTAGTAGTAACCACAGCCGCCACACTTCTTGCGCTCCTGTGCTTCCTTGCCACAGGCTTGACACGGCCGAGTGTCATTTTGCTTGTCAATTCCTCCAGTGTACTTGACAAGCTCTGTGTTCATCTGGTAAAGGTCTGCCAGTCTCATGGGAAAGGCCTAAGGTACCATATTTGTCAATTAGCCACCATTGATTGAGATGATGAGTGAGAAAGCAGGACTAACCCGACAAGTTTCCAGCTTCTCCACGCGAACTCCCTCCCATCCAAGAATCTCTTGGTAGTGGTATTCAAAACTGCAACGGTATGTCCAACCTTGAATGGGCGATGATCGACCTGCGCATTTCCATCTGGATAGAAAGCGACGAGGAACGCAAAGTCGCGTTTGTCGCGGCAGACGAGGACTTAGCGGGTAATGAGCTCGATTCTCACGATCTCACCAAATAGACACCAATTTGTCGTATTGCGGTACGCGCCTCCATCTTCGGCGACCTCATCTTGGTCGTCAGCCTGAAGAAATCCGGGAAAGTAGAAGAATTCCTTCACAAACTCATCATAGTTGGTCATGATGGCTTCTTCTGGGTGATTTCTGATAACCCCACGTTTGCGACTGCGCTTGCGAGTTGCAGACAAACAACCTCATTGTGATGAGGCCGATATGCCGCCCCCCATTCGGAGAGTTATCGGTGCTCAGGTAGCATCAGCCACAGTCGCTGAAGGCTTATCTGAGGTATTCAGGGTCCAAGGTGCGGCTTCTCTTTTATCCCGGGGGGGTCGCGCCTCAACTGGAGCTCCCACAAACGTAAGGATACAAGCAACTCAGTCCGAGGCACTGGCTCCTTCGCCAGGGGTTAATAATAGTATCACCACTCGTTTCAGCTTTCTCCCATCCTTCAACATCGGAGTGCCATTGGTATCAAAACCGCAGCAGAAAAGAAAAGAAAAAAAACAATCCAGCTCTAAAAGAGCTGGCTCCTTGTCCACGCTGTCCAGTTACGACTACGGATACGGATAGTTATGCTTACCTGGCCATTTGCTACAAGCGTCAGCAGGCTCAGACAAACCTCAAAATCTCACGCGAACCTCTCTGTTGGCCAATAGGCCCATTACCAGCCGATCCTTGGAGCATTTTCTGAGCTGTGCTATACTACTATTCCCTGCACTAAACTTGCTAGATTCGGCAAGGTTGTCACCCGTGTCTGCTAAGCTTCCCAGTGGTTCCAATCCTTCGGGTGACGTCGTTTCCTCTTTGGAGGAGTTTGTTTGCCTGTTTGCTTCAGCCTTTCTCAAAAGTCCACACACAGACAAAACTTCGGCATCAGATGCTAGTGCATCCATCCAACCATCCATCCATCCCTCTTTTTCCTCCTGATTGTCCATGTCCGTGGTGGGAAAGTCGGGACAAATCAACCGCCCACCCCGTGTGGGAACAGACCACCAGACGAAACAAAAGACGTCCTGGCCGCTCGCGCCCCCTTCCATACCTTTTACACGACTAATCATCTATCCCTTGAATCCTTACCTTACCTCTCCTCTCTATTGACTGTTCTACGGAAGGAAACGTGGTTCATTATAGAGGACAAGGTTCATCTCCTCCTCCTCCGCCAACGTCCTCGAGACAAAGAAAAAAGACGCGGACCCAGACCCCAATCCCCGCTGATCCTGAACCAGACAGGGAAGCAAGCTGACTGAGATATCGGTCTTTTTGGGGCACACGACAGACGACATTGCCACTTTGTGCAACTTTTTCCATTGCTGTCACCACCTCGGATTGTTCTTCAATAACGCCCAGACGACGGTTCACCAGCTCCCGCTGTTCTACGGAGTTGTTCAACAAAGCTACCTCCAGAAGAGAACCACCAGTCGCACACGGCTCCGGCCCCGCCATCGTCATCGTCATCGACATCCGGGGTGTGTACCACCACCACCACAACCAACGGGACCTCCGAACCCACGACGCCGACACCAGACCAATTACACCAAAAGGAAGAGAAAAGATGCCAGCCCACCACAACCTCACGATCCGCATCCCCCTCCCCAGCATCCTCCCCCCCGAAGCCGTAATCGAAACCCTGCAATCCCAGTCCCCCGTGATCCGCCACCAGCCCCTCGTAACCCGCTACGAAAAGGTCCCCGTCCCCCTCGCGAGCGTCGTCTCGGACGCCCACTTCCTCGAAGACGGCTCCCGCCTCGCCTGCTACAAAGTCTACGAGAAAGTCACCGTCGTCCCCGGCGTGAAGAAAGAAATCAGTTTCCCCGCCGTGCTGCAGAATATCCCCAACGGCCTGCGGTCCCGCGCCGAGGCCCCCGGCGGGGTGCGGGTCTGGTCCGAGTGGCTCGTCGTGCCGAGGCCGGAGGAGCGGTGGCCCGGGGAGCACGGCGGCAAGTTGGAAGGGTATGTGGAGGGGGACTACGATCTCGTCGAGACGACGAGGGTGGAGACGAGTCGGATGCTGATGCCGCTTGTTAAGGGACAGATGGAGGGGGCGCACCGGGATATGGTGCAGAAGGTGCTTGATGAGGTTGCGCAAAAGGTTGGGAGGGCTAAGATGTAGACGGGGCCCACCCGTCTCTGATGTTGGAAACAGACGGCGAGGAGGATGGGAGGGAGGGTCTGGCGTTTGGGCAAGGAAGTGCTTTTAGATACCACATGATTTGTTGCGAGTTCGCTTTTCGGCAGAAGCAGGGCATAGGAAGATGGTTTCAGCAGAATATTTTGGAAAAGGGCTAGTTCATGGCAGGCAGCACTGTTGAAAAATATACGTAATGTTTTTCCCATCGTGGTCATCGTCCACGCAGACTGAGTTGATACCAAAATCTTCATCTACACAAGAATAGGGGAATATCGCTACTCGAGTTCTCAAATGGTGTAGACGAGCTTGCCGGCGCTGACCTTGCCCTCCTTCAACTCCTTCAACCCGACAACGACGCCCTCGAGGCCGCTGCCCCCCTGGTTCTTGACGACGCGGATGGGCTTCAGCTTGCCCTCGGCCAGCAACCCGCGGCTGATTTCCCAAAACTTTTTGCCGAACTCGTAGTTTTCCTGTACGGGGTCCCTCTTGCCTGTAATCAGAGAATCTCGTTAGTCTTCACGAAATCAGGAGAGAGGAAAGATGAGATGCCCCCCAACACAAGGGACCAGACAACAGGAAAAAAAAAAAGAGGGAACAAAAAAAAGGGGGGAAGCCTCACCAAAGTATCCAAACTCCTCCCCAAAAACAGTATAATACAAACTCATCTTCACCTCCACCTTGTCATTCACCTCCTTGACGACCTTTTTATCAACAGGCAGCAGAGTCCCAATAACACCTCCCTTTGTGCTGCTCAGCGCTTTCGCCACCAAGACGACGCTCTCGTTGGTCGACTGGCAATCCCACGCCAGCGTAAGCTCGTCGTTTGTCGCCTTGCGGATATCTTCCGAGACGGTGGGCGACTTGTAATCGTAGACCTCGTCGGCGCCGAGCGACTTGAGGTACTCGAAATTGTGAGGCGACGAGGTGGCGAGGACGCGGTAGCCCGAGAGTTTCGCGTATTGGATGCCCGAGATGCCCATCGCCGTGCTGCCGCCGTAGATGAGGATCGTGGGGGCCGGGGTGGCGGTCGTGGGTTCGGTTGGGAGGGGGAGGTTGAGGCCTTGGTAGAGGCCCTGGCCCTGTTTGCGTTTTAGTACATGGTTAGCAAAAGGTTGTCCGAGAAGAAAGTTGGCTGTGATGGGAAGGGGGTGGTAGATAAAGTAGACATACGACTGTGGTGACGGCGATGCCGAGCGTCGCGGCCTCTTCGTCTGAGATGTTGTCCGGCGTCTTGATCTGCACGTCGCCCTTGACGGCGATGTACTTTGCGAACGCGCCGTCAATCTCTCTCAGAGCGTTTCTGGAGTACTCCAACGTTAGCCTCTCCCTCTGTCTCTCCCTCCTGCTTTCAAGGAAGCCAGGCCGAAGAAAACTCACGATCCGTTGACAGGCCCGCAAATCCGATCCCCCTTCTTGAAATCCTTCGTCACGCCCTTGCCCACCTCCTCGACGACGCCGGCGTAGTCGCACCCGACCCAGATGCCGACGCAGCCCGCCTTATCGGCGAGGTCGACGTGCTTCCAGTCCGTCGGGTTGATCGCCACGGCCGTCGTCTTGACGAGGATGTAGTCGTCGGCGGGGAGGGTGGGGACGGGCGCGTCGACTACCTTTGCGACGCCCGCTTCGATTGTCTTTACTGCTTGGTTTGTCGCCATTGTTTGTGCGTATTGTTTGGGTATTCTGGATTGTGATATATCAGTGTTGGTCTCTGTCCGAGTGTTGGGCGAATGAATGCCTACCTCTGTGTTGATAGCTGTGTTGGTATAGAAGTTGTAAAGTGTTGTTGTTCGGAGGGGTATCTACTTTGGTAACCAAAGCCAAACTCAATTGCAAAAGCTCTAGATCAACAAGCCCCTTTAAGTAACAATCCAGTCGGCACTTGCGTCGCCCAGGGGAAAAAAGCTCCTCTGCCCCGATACCGATAACCCCTCCTTGCCCATCGTCAAGCCGGGCCTCCCCTCCAGCTTACAAATGCTTGCGTAGCTACCTACTACGTATGGTCTGTCAAGGAGACCAAGACAACAAGGTAAAGGTAGGGGTCCATGGTCCCAGCCAAGCCAATGCGGTGGTGAATGGAACCATGTTATCCACACTAGCTCGAGATGTACGTGTGTGTTATTCCCACCGGCATCATCGATTTTGCCTTCTGCCCCGCACGACACAGCATAGGTCGATACTCGAGTAAGCAACCCACGGAACCGACACTGTTCCTGGTAAATCGGGGCGCGCGACGCACCCAGAGCTTCCTTGGTAAACCGCGGATGTTTCTCGTTCCCGAGTCTCTGTTCCCTAGAAAGGTGGTTGGTTGGGGGGGTGGGAAGCCGAAGAGCCCGCGGCGACTTGGGAAAAGCTATGTAATACCCCGGACTTTTTTGCTAGAAATTCGAGGTCCGGAGCTTGGGCCGTCCGTAGGTATCCGTAGGGTCTCCTTTTTTCTCGGCGCCGCGGAGTAACGGTGCCCTGTGCTGCTTACATAGGTACTTTACCTTGCGGACAGCGAACGACGGTAACCCGAGGTGCTCACTCTTATCAGATTCCGGCGCCGGATACGCTCCATCGCATCCATTCGGGAACCGGATGCTTTCTGCGATACTCTACCACCTTGGGAATGCCAGCCTCCGTGGCAATACGTACTACCTATTATTTGGCGGTCAGGTCAGAGTGAGGGGTACGCCACAGCCGACCCCGCGATGCAGTGACAACAATCTTATCGCCGATAATCACCCCTCCATCCAGTTATCGCCCCTCGGAGGGGCACAATCCCATGCTTCACTGTATCCCTAATCTCACTTGCTTTCATCAGATGAGGGTATTGGCGCCAGCATGTATAAATGTAAAAAGGTTTCGTCATAATGGTATCTATAACAACGCGTTCTAAATCCTGTAACCAGACCATCCGCGCAACGTCCTCTGAGGGCGCTGCTAACGCTGTTCCCGTACATCCGCTTTGTTCATGAAGCGCCACATCCCCAGAAAATAAGTGAAGAATAAACCCTGTCGCAGGCAGTTGGCCGCAAAGAAGACATAAAAACAAAGAAAATGGCAAGTGAACTTGAATCACCCTGTTACCGACCACCATAATCACTGGCATATCCGACTTCACCAAAGTTTTGACCCATGCCGCCCTCTCCGAAGCCTGTACCGGGTCCGCTGACATACCCACCGTCGTCGCCTTCGTAGTCGCTGGCATCGAATGACGAACGGCCCGATATGTCGTCTTCGAGACCGCTGCTCGCGTCTTGCGCTGACCAGTTCATCTGTGCCAGCGCCGGGTACTGAGCCAACAGAGCAGCTGGCAGCATGTACTGTCCACCGGCGTCCATCGGATAACCTGGCTCCATGCCCATACCGGCCGCCATATTTTGCATGTTCTGTTGCTGCATCCGCTGCTCCTGCCATGCGCGCTGCCGGTCGAGCATTTCCTCGTCCAACAAGGGCTTAATGCAGATTCTACCTGCCTCTGATCGGAAGTGTCGGCCAAGCGCATCGGCACGCGCGAACCTGCGACCACAGCCCCACTGACCATCAGCCTTGAGGTCTCCCTTGCATACAAACTTCTTTTCTCCAGAATGCAGACCCTCGTGTCTCTTGCGGTCGTGCTGTCTCGCGAACGCCTTGCCACAAACTGTGCAGACGAAGGGACGCTCATCTGTATGCGTTCGCAAGTGAGATCGGAGGTTGTAGGCTCTAGTGAAGCGCTTGGGGCACAGGGTGCACTGGAATGTTGCCGGGTGCTTCTGAACACGTTTGGAGTTTCCGTTGTCCTGTGCATTTTGATATTCAGGATCCGCCAGTCTAAGCGCGATAACGTTGTTTGGCACGGCTGAGGTAGATTGTCGCCTGCGACTAGGGCTTACAGCTCCCCGATCGAGCGGGGAGAGCGATCGTGATGAGTCTCGGCCAGAAAGATCAGATCCTAGATGAGGCGACAAGCTGCCGGCAGAAGTCTGCCGCACCATGCCTCCTCCGGAGCTGTTAAAGGGATCTGTCACTGCGCGGGGTCTGGATCGCGGACGGCCTATTGGTACTGTTAGTCCCGACGTGTCAACTTTGATACCGTCACGGTGCCTTACCTCGCTCTGGCGGCGTGAGAGAATCTTGATCCATCTGGTTCTTGGGCTGTTCGAAGTTGTTTTGTCTTGCCGTGGGCGCGAACTCGATGTTGATGGCCGGTGCCTGGGGCATCTCCGGCTGTTGCAGAGTCGGGAACGCTTCTTGCCCGGTGTAGCCAGTACCACTGACGAAGCCGGCATTCTGTGCTTGCAGGCCAAAGTTGGTTGGCTGGTTCAGCTCGGGCATCGACTGAGGGAGGATGCGCGGGGAAATGGCCGGGCTATGGGAGGGGCTTCGCCCTTGCAGGTTGGGACTGCCCAGGGCGGGGTCCGAGATGGTGAAGTTGTCGAAACCCTGAATCTGCTGGTAGAGACCAGCATCTTGTGGTCGCTGCATGGGCGAATGACTCTGGTCGATTCCATCAAAGCTGTCGGCGCTCACCAAGTTCGGAGACGGTGCGGCGGAAGAGACGTCCGAGTACTCGGACGGGGATCTCCGGTGGCCTCGAAACTGAGGCTGGCTCCATTCATTCAGTTGGTTCGGCAGGAGAGCGGCCTCGGGACCGAGGGAGGCATGTCTAGAGTGGCCCGCGCCCGAGGGCGGCGAAGAGAACTGGTGCTGGTTGAAGGCCGGAGACTGGTGCGCGGAGGGAGTCTGGTGGGGGTCCGGGTTGAGGAGGTGGGGAGGTGTAGGAGAGTGGTGGCTCTGCGGCATAGCCATGTTGTTCATGTCACCGGGGTTGAGGCTCTGGTCGAAGACACCGGTGGTAAACTGCTGGTCGTTCTGGCCGGCGTTGGGAAACAGGGCGAAGTCGCCGGAGGGGAAGGTGTTGGGGTCGAGGAAGCCGGCTTGGTTTTGGTTCGCAAAGGCAGCTCCGGACTGGTTGTAAGACTGCTGGTTGGGTTGCTGGCCGTTGAGGAAGTTGTTTGTGTTATTAAAGCTGGAGAAGTCGGCGGAGGCGGCTCCGTTGAAGGCTTGAGTTGCAGATTGATCCAAGCCGAGACCGAGACCAATTGATGCTTCGGTATTGGGCTGGAAGGGATTCGGAGACGGAGAATGCGAAGGATGTCTTATATGAGGCTGTTGATGCCCCGCAGACGGTGAGCGACCGCGCTGGCCTTGTTGATCCATGATGTAAATGGATGTCGGTAGTCGGGATGGAGGGATGTCGTGTGTACGTGGATGCGATTGCGGGAGTGTGTGTGTTGTGTGTTGCTGTCTTTAGAATCGGGGCGAGGCAGTTCACAAGTCAGCCTTTCAGGCACCGCACCGCCCTGGGGCTGTGCTGACGCGCGAGCTGACGGCACACAAACTGGAGGCGGCGGGGGTACAGTCGCGGACGACGAGATGTTATTCGCTGTCGCGAATAGGTTTGCGCAATGATAGTTTGCGTGGATGAGTGTGACTGAGTGACAGCGACGAGTAGAGAGTCAAGCAGCGACGCCGGAGACGGATGACAGTGGTAAGGTGACTGGAAGTGAAGGGGGTTTGGCGACGTTTTGGGGGCGTTGGAGAGAGAGGGAGAGAATACCGTAGCGCGGCGGGAGATTGAGTGGTAATGTGCTACAGTGTGCGAAGGAGGAGTTGAGATGGGGAAGCGAGGACAGGAGGGGGGGGGGGGGGACCGGACAGAGAGACCCGGCACCAGGGCAGGTCCACGGTGTGTGGAATTGGGGTCTGAGGACTTGGGATTCGAAGGAGGAGAGAGACTTGGGACTTGGGACTTGGGACTTGGGACTCGGGAGCCTGTCCGTACCTTGAGTGTGAAGGGGAGGGGAGGGGAGTGTGGACGGTGACTGACGGTGGGACAGCGAGGTGTGAGGTGCAGGGTGAGGTGGGCGACGGGCGACGTGGTTGGTTGGCTGGGATCCACCTGAGCGGCCCAATCTGGCTGGTTCCCACAAGGCTGTGCACGTTTGAGGATGGATCTTTCGGCCGGTGTCTTTGATTTGGTGGAAAGGTGGTACCACGACGTGGGATTGTACCTGGAGTTGTGCCTGAGATGCGTGCCGGAACAAAGTATTCCGTACTTGGGAGTCCCAACGTTGGGTCGGGTCGAGATACCTCTGCGTGTGTGCTCTGCAACGGCGCGCTCCGACTCGGATTGGCATGCGCTTAGGTGATGGATGTTGGTGCTTTCCGCTTGCTGCTTGCTCTGATCCGCGCTTGGAGTGTACGCAGTATCCGTACCTTACCTACTCCAAGGTGCTGTCACTTCCACGCCGAGGTGCTCTTCTTTGTTTTCTGGGTACGGAGTAGTGAGTATGCACCACGCCAACCAACACCTCATTCTCTGGCGGGAGCTACCTAGGTAAGGTACCTCTCGTAGGTACGGAGTACCTGTCAGTCTTTCGTTGCTTTCTGGTTGAAGTGTACGTCGGCCGCGCGTGCAAAGACGTGGAGCAGACTGCGATCCGGCACGATGGTATGCTACCAGCCAACAGGTAAAATCCAAAAATATCTTCTGCCTCTCTTTCCGCTGCAGGGATCTAGACGACTTGTTGGCTGTACGGGTACGGATACAGGTCGGCGTCTATCGTAGCTTCTCGGAGCTCTCAGTCAGACGATAAGTTGGCCCTTTGCTTGCCACCTTACCAAGGTAAAGTACCTAGTCAGCAGCAATGAAGGACGTTGCTCGTGTGTCTAGAGCTCAAAAGGTTTCAACCGTCACTTCGGGGTGTAGCTTGGAGCTAGGTCCGCTGGCCAGCCTTTGACAGATGCTGCTGATGACTGTTGAAGACGGGTTCGGTGTGCGCATGTGCGTGTTCGCTTGCTTGTTTGCTTGTGATACATGTGACGAGACGAGAATGCGAATGCTCAGATGCGAAAAGCAAAAGACGGTTTGATGCGCAGATAATCTTTAGAAGCAAGGTCCTCCTCCTCTCTGCGTCTCCCGTCCGTACGGAGTAAGGAGGGCGCCAACAACCAATCCAGCCGTGCCAGCAAGACTCAAACACTGTTGTGGTGGTAGTAACGCAAGGGAGGGCCTTGGATGGATGGGATTCGATACTGGCAGGTAAATGGTAATAAGCTCGTGCTGGGAGTCTCGACATGGACATTATTGGCATCGTGGACCCAGGCATGCCGACTAATAAAACATCTAGGCAGCAAGAAGAGGGCCCTTTTGCAGAAACCTTGCTTTGCTAGTGCATGATGGCTAGGGGTCAAAGAAACGGGCGGGAAACGGCCGGTTGGAGGGGTAGATAGGGGTCTTGTTTCGAACACGTACAATCCAGTCTATCCAGATAATGCACCCCGACGACTCGAAATCTGATGAGACTGTCGCTGTCACTGCAACTGGTACTGGTACTGGTGAGGGTCGGCGGGCCTTTGCTTCCTATCCTGACAGGACTGGGCATCCAAATTCCAACATCCGATCCAGCCTCGCATCCCGTCCATCCCTTCATGTTCCACCATCATCTCAGCGGACAACAGATTCCTACAACTTGACGATGCTCTCATATTACAAAGCGTCTTCTTCCCCAAATGTAGTAAATAGATGTCTATTCTTGTTTTGGGTCTGCCTGCTTACATGTAAGACTCTAGACTCGGAATCACCCCTAAGCAGATGCTAAAAAGTGTTAGCCTCAGAAAGGCACTTTACCTCGAGCACTTGACATTTCCACCAAAATTTCCTGTCCATCTGTCTGACTCCGGCTTGACTTACACCGTCTCCCACTCTATCTTTCTCCCTCTCCATCAATAAGCTGATTACAACTTACCAGACTTGGCTGTCATCTGGGTTCCCTGTTCCAGCTGTTCCAGGGCCCGGTGTGTTAATGGTTTGCGTTTCCGTTTACTCAGTTGGAAGTACCTCTTCGCAGTAGGATTGGTTGAGTGTACCTTCACCACAGGGGCACAGGGGGGGTGGCCCAAGGCCCCAAACCCCCCTCCAAGGATTACTGTGTACTTGTGACTGTAGGTGTTGGGTTAGGCGTTCTTGCTTCTCGAATCTGCCTTGAGTGGGTTTCTTGTTCCCGGTCCGTGGCCATCCACTGGCTTCCTGCTGCTTGACATTGGCCCAATAATTTGAAATTACACTATTCCTCGCCCAGCCTTGGCATCTATTCTTTCTCCTACACATGCTTCCAACCAGTCAGCATCGAGAGAGGCATCTTGATCATGCCATTGCAAGCCAGCCATTTACACTCTGCGAAGTATACTACACCACTCACACCGATGCCACGGCATAGGGGATTCTAGGTAGCACTATGGTTTTGGCTCTAGAGTCTAGAGTCTCATGTCTCGACACACCGACGCACTCCTACTTCCCTACTGCATCGGCGGCTTCAAGAGTCCCGTCACCTGTCACTGGTGATCCCTGCGCCCTCGCCGTCGTCATCGTTGTCGTTGTTATTCTCGCCCTGGTCTAGACTGCCTTAGCTGCCGGTCTGTCAGACGCTGATTGACAGGTCCCATCTACCCACTTTTCAATTCCAACTTCCAGCTCATTAGACGACCTGATACACGATGGAGCTCTGCTAGATGCATGATGTAGACACTATCACGCACCGTCACCAATCAACATGGGCGTTGGTCAAGGACTCGCCAATATACGGTCTACCTCCCATGCTGAGCTACGTTGATGATCCTCCTTTCCCGACATCGACGTGGACATCAGATGGAGCAGCCCACATGGAGCAGCAATGAGCACCAGACATGAGATGAGAGTGGACAGGCAAATGCAGACTTCATCAAACACTGACACCACTAAGAGCTGCCGTCAGCTCGCCAACGTGCCAATGTCTCGCGGGTGGGCATGCGAGTTGGATCCAACCTCGTTTCCCCCGAATAAGCAATCCGGATTCCAAGCAGCGCGAGCGGATGCTGACGCTCATCATAGCTACTTGCTCCGCCGGATCGCCTATTCGTCAGTGAGCGAGCACAGCAATGTTCAAACCACCCTTGTGCACCCCTCTACATACATCTCTCTGCAAGGCCGGCACATGCATTCCCTATAGATATAGATCGAATGTGGCTCGAGTCTATCAAAGCATATGACTGACTACGTATTCCAATCGAATAGTCAGACGCATAGACTAAATGCCATCAGCACTGCCACAAACGACGTCCAATCGCACTAGACATTAGATGCCGAGCCCGCCATACTCATCGATCAAGCTGTGCAAATATGGGTTGCTGCCACCATTCAACACTGGTTTACAACTTACAGTAGAAGTTAGCGTCATCATCTTCAGGTACGAGTCTCACCGTCCCGTTCCTTGGTGCAAGGCACAAGTTGTGCCACCAGATTTGCCATGAAGCTGACCCCTCGAATATTCATTCGTGTTACAAATCATATGAGCTACCACCAAACATCTTGGGGTCGAGCTACTTGCTTCGATTGTCTCGTAGTCCCTCTAACCAACTTAAGCTCGATGCAGGCATTTCTCGTTCCATGAGGTCTTGGATGGGTCTTCTGCAATGAGGCGCAGTTCCGCGTGAAACAAGGACCCCATCGCCATATCACAACCAGCACCAAGGGCCTTGTTCGACGATATGAACCACTATGAGATCAAGTGTCTTTACCGGATAGCTTTACATTCCCCAAACTTTCTCAAATGCCTACGGTCCACGATGTCTCCCTGCTCAACGGGCCAATGACGGCCCCGTCGCAAATCTAGCGTTGCTGCAAGACGCGGAATCGCGCCCGACACAGCCACGCCGGCTTCGTGGCCCCTTGGCCCCCAAAATGCCAGGCGTGCCAGGCCATGCGGGCATGCCCACTCCGATATGAATAATGACATCAAGCATATGGTTCTTTGCAAATCCACCGCGCGGCAGGAAGAAGCTTATTCGAGAAAAGGTGCCCCGTTTCAGGTCCATCCGGCAATCCAAGGCCGTGATCGAAGCGAGGGACTCGACCTTTGGAAGTTTTGGAACCCTTCGATTTCTCCACACACCGCGCGAAGCTCGGGACCCATGCCACGCCGGAGCGGGCCCTTCTCTCGAAAGCTCAAGGCGGGGAGCTGTGCTGGCTGGCTGCTCATGTCCAATTTTAGAAATGCCTTTCGGAATACGAACCGGACCGCACGGTTGGGACCTGGCATGTGTCCAACAAACACCAACCCGTGATGACAGTCGTCGCGTCGCCCTAGGCGTTGTCACCTTCCTCGGAGATATGGTAGTGTACCGTACCGCCAAAAACGCTACAGAGCTAAGAAAACCAGACTTTTGAATTGGAACCCTTTGTCAGCACTGAGCTGGAGGCCGGAGACTGGAGTTTCGGAGATCACGCCATGCCCAGACCTTCAACTCTAGGCAGCCATATTGGATTTTTGTTTTGGCTTTTTATTTTTCCATCCGATGAGACGTCGTTCATCCCATGGAGACGAGAAGGCAATGCCACAACCCCCCGCCAGAGATCTTACTTACCTACCCCTTTGAGTGGCTGTGCTTCGTCGATCATTCTGGAGAAGAAACCGACATCCTGAGTTCCCTTCCCCACTGAGTGTGACAAGATCCTCGCAAGTGCAAGTCTTTACACCGGCGGCTCTCTGGGCGACGACACCAACTTCCAAATGGGAAATTGGAAATTTCTCAATGTTATTTGAGATTGTCTCTCTAACGCGGCATCAATTTGACTCCGTCGAAGGACCCCGTCTCTCCGATATCCAATCTCTCCGTTAGGTCAGTACTCGGACTTCAAATGCTGGTCCATGCCCGTTGAGTTTTGAAACAATATATGGTTGACAAGGCTGAATATGCAATTCTTTTCTACACGAGGTCCAGCTATGAATTTCTCTTCTCAAAACAAAGAAACTTTGGCAAGTAAGATAGTTGGAAATCTCAAAAAGTTTCACCAAACCCCAAAGACCGATGTGATCCCTTTTCCCTCTAGTGTACAATGAGTAGGGCGCTGTCCGTCTCCCAGTAAAGCAACTCCGTAAAACGCCGTCCAGTCCCTGGTCTAGTGGTATCATCGGTCTTCTTCTTTTCTTACAAGTCTTATTCTTCCTCTTCCTCTTCTTTGCCTTCTCTGGCCTCCCTATTCCGTCTTCTTCTTTAGCAAACGCAAGGAAAAGGTGTCGTGGTTCCGTAAAGATGGACGTTTCGTAGCCCAAGAAAGCCATCAAAAATGGTCGTACAGCAGAAATGGTGATGGCTGATATCTCGCGAGCGGTCGTAGTAGAAACCCCCAAAAGTCGTTTAAATTACCTCGTTACGCTCGAATCCCTGTGCTCTCAGCGCGGCGTTGGGCTTCTCGCCGTCCTTGTACTCGCTAACGAACGGATTCGGGTCCTCCTTCTGGTTGAGGTTGCTGAGGGTATGGTTTACGCCTCTGTGAACGGCCTCTGTAGAATCATCGTCAGCACCGCATTACTCCTTTCTAAGGGCAATTTTCATTGCGGGAAGGGGAGAATACGCACCATCAGCCCTGATGTACAAAATCAGATCCTTCATCGTCCTCTGGCCCTCGGGAATCTTCCAATACTGCACCGCGATATCGGGGATCACGAAATTCGGATCGGACCACTTGGGCAGCAGCCCCCGGTCGATCTCGTAGAGGCAGCGCGTGTACGTGTGCACGGCCTCCTCCTCGAGGTAGCCGACGAAGCGGTGGGTGATCTTGGGGGAAATGAGGTACGACAGGAACATGCCGTTGAAGAAGACGCCCTGGGCGCCGAGGATCATGACCTTCATGAACCAGCCCGGCTCCGACATCTTCATGAACGTCAGGAGGTGCATGCGCTCGTTGAAGCTCTCCTCGAGGAGCGTCTCGATCCAGCCGTTGTCGCGCTTCATGCGGCGCAGGCTGCCGAGGTGGCGGAGCATGCCGGCGACCATGCCCGGGACTGTTTTCACGGATGTTAGTCGGTCTTGCTATTCCCCAAGTTTGCGTGGTAATCCTCCTGTGAGAAAAGGGGGGAGGAAGAAGAAGAAGAAGAAAAACTCACCTCCGGCAATACTCTCCAAAAAGATGAACCGCACCAGCCACTGCGCCTCGGTGAGCGGCTTATCGGCCACCAACGACGTGGTGGGATTCTTCTTGTCGACCTGCTGCTCGGAACCCAACCCCGTAGCGCGGTCCATGAACCACCGCGCGAGCCGGACAAACTTCCACGCCGCCCAGTCGCCGACGGTGCGCGGCGCGCGGTGGTCCGGGACGATGTCGTGCATCTGCTGCTCCGTGTAGCCCGGGTGCGGCCACGCCGGCGCCGTGAGGCGGATGTGTTCCGTCTCCTTGGCCGGGAAGAAGTCGCGGAGCTGCGTCGCTCGCGTCGTGGAGAAGGACCGGCTGGTGCTGGGGGTCACATGTTGCTGGTGTTGCTGGAACGAGGCGGCGGTGATGCGGAGGCCGGCGAAGGAGGTTGTGGTGGTGGTGTTGTGGAGTGCTGCCGCGGCCCGGGCGAGATGGGCTGCTTGTTTCGGCGCGCAGAGTCTGGTTGATGCTCTTGATGATAGCATTGGGAAAGGTGTGAGAATGGAGATTGCTTTGGTGTAAGTCGGGGTGTTGTGTATGTAAGTCGAGTGACTCAGTGATGTCAGGATATAGTGATGTCAAGAATGGACTTGAATACTGGTGATGATGGAACGAGAGTCGTATGGCCTGAGGAACAGCTCACGGCCCAGAGTCTTATATACCATTCAGAGGGGTGGTGGTTATACATGGTCGTTATTGATACGGCGAGGAGTCTGTGTGGGTGTGGGGGCAGGGGGTAGAAGGGGAGCAGCAAGCAAAACCTGTCAGATGGCAGACATTACACAACGGCATGAGCCATGGTCAGGGCGTCCCATTCTGGATTATCGGCGAGGATGTGATTACCCAAGCCGACGAGGAAGAATAGGAATGGAAGGGGGTCCTCGACGAAGAGGGATCGGGTCACCCAAGCCCCCATGGGATGGGATAGAGAGAAAGAAACCTGGTGTAAGAGCCTCAGGGAGACTTGTGATCCATGCGTTGGTAGTCACAGGAAAAGTCGCCGAGAGTACGCCGTCCGCTGACAATAGGTACGCTAAGGTACAGCAAGTAAACGGCGGTGCAAAAGCGAGAGAGGAAAAAAGTCAATTAGCCTTTTGGTTCCGCATTCTCTCGTCTGACGTCTTGCCGGTCCCGATGTTACGGATACAGATGGGAACGCCGTCTTAGTGGGGGCGCAGGCGCGGGCGTTGGTAAAGCAATGCAGATTGGATTTGCAAAGGCCGCGGAGACAGGGATGCCAGTGCGCCGTAGGGCGTAGGCGGAACCGACGAGGACCGTACGGAGGAGGAAGTGTGGAAATGCTGTCAAGTCAGCTGGACCAGATTGGCGGCGTCCATGTCGGGTCGTATCGGGATGTGAGTGTTTTTGTTCCAAATGCTCGACGTACGCAGTATACGGGGCGCACACAGACATTGCTCAGGTACAGACTTCGTTCCGCTCCATTTTCGTGGGGCTGTGATTGGATGGGATACTGTCAGCTTTCTGCCCTTTCCCGTCGACTCGTGAACTTTTGTTGTTGTCTCTTTTTTTTTTTCACCAGTCAGAAACCAGCCGTCGTAATACAGAGTGTCTTTTTTTTTTTGTGTTTGCTCACTATTGCTCGCAGCTGCAGTGATATCTTGTGTAATGACGGAGCTGAAGTCCGCCGATGTACCGACTGTCTGCCATGCCACTTGCATATCCAAAGATACGCCCTTAACGTCCGCATATACGACTGAACAGTCATAGAGGGTCTGAACAGAAACCTCGAGTCATGAAAGAGAGGAAAACTTGTCGATATCTTGCTCATCGGAGGGGTTCTAGAGTTGGACGGCGATTGAAGATCGCCCTTCATCTCCACTTGACAAGCTCTGGAGCCCGAGGAGGCCGGGGCGCCACTCTGCCAGACCAAACTTTCAAATCCCGTGTTGTTTGGCGCTTGGCAAGCTGGCACAAGCACAGCAATCTACGACTTGCTCCGGGGAGCAGGGCGGAAACTTGTCACCCGACCCCGACCCCGACCCCCGACTCCGATATTTCTCCCCGGAAGTCCAAGGCCATGCCATGTAGGCCGTAATGGCTTCCTATCTGGGTATCGTTGCTTAAGTTCAAGATGAAAATTGCCCCGCCTTGATACGGAAATCCTAACATCGGTGACGAAACACCTAGGTTCTTAGTAATGTTTTGCGTGTTCATGAAATGGGATCGATGAATTGACTCATTTGACGGATCTGAGGCTGAGAAGGATCCATCGGAAATCCGCTCGTGGGTTCTGTCAAATGCCCAAATAAGGGAATGTAAGGCACGGCAGCGTAGATACCTGAGGGGCCTATCAGGTGAAGGATTTTTCTGCTGGTCACGCTGGCGCAGTTTGAGGTTGTTTTCGAGTCAATATGCGGAGGACATCGGGAGAAGGCGGCTCTGCTGGCGGGGAGCAACATCCGGAACACTAGGGGAAGCGGGCCATGACCTCGACGACAATAATAACGCCGGTATGCGTAGTACCTGAGGTTATTCGATGTGGACGGTCTGTGTTGCCTTACAAGGCTCCACCTTGCGTTCGCAACCCTTGACTGTCGTGCCTGCGCAGGATTTCCGCTGTCCAACGATACGTTTGGTGTATGAATGCAATATCTACGACGAACAGGTATCCATGGTGGCCGTGTGCTAGATCAGCTTTCAATATTCCATCAATATTCATCGATTTGTTTGTTGAGGTGGATCGTCGTCCTGACATTTGATTGATTCGAGAGGGTGACCTTCTTCACCACGATCCGCCAGGGACCGCAAGCAATGAAAGCAAAATGAAAAATCTTCTTCAAGATGAGAATTGGGGTTCAAAAATTCCCTGGCCGGCCGAAGCCAACCAGGAGTGGTCATAGTTATAGTTTTCAACTAGCAAAAACACGATCTCGGACGAATCCTCACTGATACGCGTAAAGCCCTTGCACTCAGATGAAGAAGAAAAAGAGAAGAGAAACAGGAAAGACTGGTGGTGGGAGGCAGCCCTCTTATAGGTTTTGCGAGGTAGACGAGGTGGGCCCGCAATCAGTAAATGGTACGTACCGGAATTGGGTGCCCTGGCTGCCTTAGGGTCCCGTTTTCCAGGCTGGTATCAGCCACCAACCTCCAGGTTCCTTCCTTTCGAATGGCTTCTGGCGAATGCCGCAGGGATTGCCTTCTGCACGACCCACACGCAGGGATCGACCTGCCTGCCTGCACTGAATACCAAGGTACATACCAAGACGACCTCTCACGATGCTCTGTGAACATCGACCTGAAGGCTTCGTAAGTTTACACTCTTACACGCCATGATTGCTGTTGGACAATCTTTAGTAAGTGGGTTGTTATCGCAGGATGCTGACCAGAATGTCGACATCTCCAGGGCCCGAGATCAGCTTTTTCCAGCCACCTGCCGACAATATGTTTCGCTGATGTCGTGGTTGTCCCACTGGCGACCTGGCTTTACCTCATCATTCTATTGATTGTTCTCCCTCTGTGTTTGCTCTCTCTGCGAGCTTCGGCCTCAGCTTCAGCCGTGCCGTCACACACGGCTGGGGCACCCACGGCAGGGGACAAAGTCGCGGTGTCAACATCAGCGTCAACGTCGATGCCGCCAGCAACCAAATCGACCTCGGTGGTCGTCAAGATTGCCAGCATCATCTATTACGTACTCATAGTAGGCATGCTGGCCATGGCATCACTTGAGATTGCCCGTCTCATCGTCGCTCAGCTCGGGATTGGTCTCCTTCCCTTCACATACGTTGGCATACTCGCCGCTCTGGTCCTCCACGTTGCTGCTGCGTCGACGACTACAACCTCATGGCTCGGCGGTTTGCATGTCTACAGGGGTGAAGCGCGGTGGCGATGGACAGTCAAGGGTGTCAACATTCTGTATTGGGTGATGTTGATGTGTGTGATGGCAATCAAGGTTGCCAGTCAGGCCAAAGAGCAGAATGCACTCGGGATAAGGACGGGTCAACAGGCGCAATATCCTATTTCGGATTCCATCACGGACAATGCGGCCATGATAGGGGTGGAGTTTGTGCTGTTGATCTTGGAGTTGTTGACTATATAATCATATCACAGTGTAATAGAAATTCCAAGAGCTGAAATTGGGCATCAGATGGGGAGTACACCAAACTGATCGTGCCTTGTGGTAGAGGTGGCGCCTTCCTCTGCAAAGTGACTGTGTGGCTGTGCGCGAGCCAAACAGAGCAGGCGCGGGGTCATTTTGGTGACTCACTGCACAGAAGTGCGGGATGTCCACGAGTCCTTCGTGAGGCCGTCCTTCTCTGACGGACTAGGCGTAAGCTTTGCGAGAGTTATGGCGTTGGTGCGAGCGGGATTCAACTTGAAGTGGCAGCTACTCCACTGAGGCCAATGAGGCCAAAAATGAGACTCCGTGAAAGTGTATTGACGGCGAAGCTTCCTCCGTTACCTCAGCAAGAATGAACAAGGGGGATGGCGGGGTTGTGTTTTCAACAACCACATGTCAGGGGTTAGGGAGAAAAAAAAAAGATCTAACCCCTCCACGACGTTCAAGAAGAACCCCGCCTGCCGTTTCCAAAGTATTCAACCAGAATGCGCAACGCCGACGTTGTCTCGTTGGGGGCTTTTGCTAAAGAACTGTGCTATTGCTCATCTTTAGCTTACTTGCGGTATCTAGATTCACTACTAGAAAGACGTACCTTAGTGAAGCGGGCAGAAAGGAAAGGGCGAGGGTCATCCACTTGCCCGTACACATCCTAAGCGGCATAAACACCTCACTGAATGTCTCAAATAAGAAGGCCTGCAGAAGGACCACTCCTTTGATGAGACGAGTGCAAGCGCCAGAGCCTTCCTTCCAGTTGACATGCGTCCATGAGTGAATGAATGTAAGTGGACTGGAATTCGAAGCTCCAGCGCACTTCCCCCGCTACTGGCCGTGCTGCCGCTGCCGCTGCCGCCTTCGGCCTGGCTGGGCTGGGTTTTCCCTTCCTCGGGCTCCCCTCTGACAGTCTCTTCCCAAGTTCCTGCCCAACCACAGAGCCCCCTTGTTTTCCACAATTTGTTTCCTTCCCGACTTCAGCCAGACCGGACGGACCTCCCATTCCCCAAACTCTGGCCAAAAACTTCTTTTTCCGATACCAACATCTCCGGAAAGATTCCTTGTAACATCTTAAGCCGCCTTCTCGCCGCGCTCTAGATTCTTGCATCTTTACCCTTTGGCCCCGCGTTCAACATCTCAAATCTGACATCATGCCTCCTAAGAAGTGGGGTGAGTTATGCCTTGTCCCGCACCGTACCGCACCGCACACGCACACAAATAATCGTGAGGCAAAATGTCGCGATGATCTGTCCAATCTGGCCAGCGCAACTGCTGCCTCTCTTCTCCCCAAACGACATACTTGCTATCCCTTTAGGACTCTACTAATTTCCGTGTTCCTCACCTAGACGAAGAGAGCAGCGAAGAGGAGAGCTCCGGCCCCGCCTCCCCTATTGGCGGTGCTGTTCCTATCCGCCGCAAGTTTGAAGACGAGGAGGATGAGGATGACGTACGTTGACGAAGCTACAAGACCAAACGCGCCACTGCTCGTATACTAACTCTTTCCACAAAGGTTCTCGACTCCTGGGATGCCGCCGAAGACTCCGAGGTCGAGCGCGAAAAGGCCAAGAAGGCCGAGGAAGCCAAGGCCAAGGCTCTCGAGGAGGCTAAGAAGAACAAGAAGACCAAGGCCGAGCGCATCGCTCAACTGAAGGAGGAGCGTGCCCGCCTCGATGCCGACGACTCTGGCGAGGAGGAGACCGAGGCTGAGCGTCGTGAGCGCCTCCGCCGCACCGAGAAGGAGTCCGACCTGAAGCACGCCGAGGATCTCTTCGGTGATATCGGAGTCCCGGCCGGTCGCAAGGCTGTCCTCGCCGGCTCTGCTGTCCAGATTGACCCCAACGACCCTACCAAGACTGCCAACATCGCCTCCATGCCGCTCTTCAACCCCGTTACCAAGACCCAGTTCGAGCACCTCCGCACCACGCTGACCCCGATTCTCGCCAACAACGCCCGCAAGGCTCACTACGGCCTTTTCCTTCAGGAGTTCTCCAAGACCCTTGCCAAGGATCTGCCCAGCGACCAGATTAAGAAGATTGCCAGCACTCTCACTGCCCTTGGTAACGAGAAGATGAAGGAGGAGAAGGCTGCTCAGGGTGGCAACAAGAAGAGCAAGGCGGCCAAGACCAAGGTCTCCGCCGTCGTCAGTCGTGCTCCCGCAGCTGACACCGAGACCTACGAGGATGATGGTTTCGGAGAGTAAGTCCATCTCTCAAGACTGCTATCTGCCATGAAATACTGACCCTTTTGCTCTTCTTAGTGACGACTTTATGTGAAGCAGAAGGCAGGGTTGCATTATTCTCCCGCGCCCAGAGCTCAGCCCGTCGTGTCTCAGCGAGTCTGCTACGTGCCAACGGATCTGGCGCGGCTTCGTACCGAAGCTTGCCACAGCGACTTGGATTCAGAGCGCAAGTGTTGCTGTCGCGGACCCCGGCTGCGTCACGATGTAGATGGGGGTTCGGCATGGTGAGGGCTCGTGGGCTACTGGGACTGCCAGGAAGGCCATCTGGTTTAGACTGTGAGAGATGGCATCGGAAGTGGCGTCGCCTCAAAGCGGGAATGGCGCTGATCATGGGGAAAAAAAGCATTCACGGTCTAGAGGGCAAAGGGCCCAGTGCATTTTCGCGCATGATATCAAAGAAGCTCCCTACAGAAGGGTAGTTGTGGACAGCGTTAAGACATGATAGAATCGAATCGTTCAAGTAAACTTGTGTCAAGCCTGTGCCATACGTCTGAAAAACTAGATAGTGCGACAGGCTGGAGTACCTCTGTCTCTGCGTCTCCAAAGGATATATGGCATCTCTATAGAACTATTCCCAAACGTCACAAGAACGTAATTGTTCTGTCCATCAAGAGATGTCCTTCTTGTACAAGAGTGCTTTCTCAAGCATACTATCCACCTATCAAATCTGCTATATTCCGTAGATGTCTTGTCGCCTACGGGCAACTGAACAACCACCAAAACCCCCTATTCACCATTTACGTCCAAAGAGTAACAGCACCCCTAGCTTACTTTGAAGGAATTATGGAGTTTCGGTGGTTGAGTCTCACTCGACTAACGCAGCCGCCCGCTCCACTCTTGTCACTCCTTCTTCTCTTCCATCGAAGCCCGAGAGACAAGATATTCCGAGACCTATGGGCTTTCCAATCCAGGTATTCTCGTAAGCCGCCCATAGAAAGGAAGGGGGGGGGGGGGGGCGGGGGGAAGAGACCTGTAACTAGGCTATACAGCTTCATGCAACCGAAAACAAGGGTCCGCTGGGGGAAAGCTTTGTGGAGAAGTGTAGTGTATGTTTGTGGTTGCGATAAGCGTCGCCCAGGATCCTTGGCGGCACGCGAGTTTGATATTCATGCGCGCGCGCGTCATGCTGCCAGCGAATGAATTTCATGCCTTGAAAGTATCTTCCGAGTGACTCACAGCGTCGAAATACGACTGTGTCCAACACGTCAACATCACGAGCGACGCGGTCTTTGGTCAGATGTATGTTGTCAAAAACAAGGGGGTATCAATTATTTTGTTGTTTGCTCTTCCCCGTATACCTCATGTTCCCCGTGTAAAACGCCTCGTCTCCCCAGAAAATAATCCCAGACAAGAAAGAAAAAAAGAATTGAGCGGTTTGATGGAACCCAATACCCCCTTCTTTCCTCCTGTGCAGAGATGTTTGCCCTTTGTATATGTACATGATGGTTGTTGTTTCCTCCCTTTGTCCATCTATACAAGATTTGTAAAAAGACAACGCCACCCGTTTTCGAATATCATGCGCTCATTAAAAGACAGCCGTGCTCACGTAGAGGGCAGGAAAACAGGAGAAGAAGCCAGGGGGAGAGAGAAGAGGGAGTTGAGAGGGTAAGGTTTTTTAAATGACATTGCCTGCCATGCCCATGAAGAGAGCATGGACAGCAAGAGACAGAGTCCAGAAGCCAACCTTTTTCAGCCGACGAACGCGGCTTTGCTGGTCCTCAATGTCGCGTGCAAAAGCCTCGTAGGTCTCGGCCGACATGTCGTCCATGAGACCGCAGTCAAAGATGGACCAGCTGCCGTCGAAATCGGTGTGGCGCTTGACTATGCGACAGTTGATTGGGATGTATGTCTTCTTGGCGTTGATGTAGGCCACGATGGGGCGAACGAGCGCCTGGTTGATGTAGGAGATGTCTTTTGTGAATAGGGGTACGGCGGCCTTGACATCATTCATGTGGATTCGGAGATCCATGATTAAATATCTCCGGTCTTCTTCTGATGACTCGGAAGAACCAGAGGGGTCGGAAGACTCAGCGTCTGTGGACTTCTCGGGGACTTCTTCGGTGAGCTCTGGTATAGCTTGGGAAAGATGACCCTTAGTAGGTGTAGATCCCCAGAGATCCGAGGCGGAAGAGCCCACGATTTTGATGTCGAGCAGATCCTTCTGGAGCAGACGCATGCGGTTGGATATCACGACGTCTTCGAGCTGGTCGTAAAGGTCCGACATGGCTTTGGTGATGCCATCGTCAACGTCCGCGGGGAACATGACATCTGCGACAATGTCGACATTACCCTCGTAGATCCAGCCGAAAGGTCCCTCTACACCACGGTTGAGGTGGTCGATTTTAAGACCATCAATGCGCAGGCGGCTGAACTTCTTCCAAGCTGCCGGCTCGCCCACATCCTCTGCCATGTCTCCATTCTCGCTAGCGATAGTACCGTGTACTTGACGGGGGTGAATGGTGAACAAAGAGCCATCAAATGACCCCGACATATGGGTTGCCGATAGGAAGTCGTAAAAGAGCCACTGTTTCCTGAGCTGTGGCAATTCGCAGGAGAAGATGCTGACTGAGAATGGTCGGAAACCCTTGGGCTGATGAACAGTAACGAGAAGATCCTCGAGTTTGAAAGAGTCAATCTCGAAATCGCCGGGTTCGTGGGTATGGCGGTAGGATAGAGGGTCGACCACCTCGTCTGACCATTGCACAGACGTGCGATCAACGACACCACGAACGCCCTTGACCTCAACATCCTTCAGGAAACCCTTGCCGTTCCACCACTTTAAGAATGACAGTGTCACGTTGACCGTTGCGATCGACACGTCGTATTGTGTGTAGTTGCCATCATCCTCTTCCAATACTTGGCCGTCCTGGTCGGGCTGGTTTCCAGTCGCAGCCATGGCCGCAGCGCTCTCGGAAGAGCCCTTACTAACCGAAGACTTGACCTGTCCTGGTCGCCGTGACACAAAGACATTCTTGAAGCTGATCACGCCATCTCCCCACTTGGGAACAATTGCGGATTCGAAGACGACCGTGACGCCTGCAGACTCGGTCAAAGAATCGCCTACCCATTTGGCAAGGGTTTCTGTACAAAACGGTGAGCAGCTGAACATGGCACAGTTACAGAAGGGAGCTTACCTTGCGCAAAGACGGTGTTGATGCTGAGAATGATCAGCGAGAAAAAGGTGGTGGTACCGACCAAAATCCAGACGAGATGGCCAAACAGGAACCACGAAACGAAGGCGCCCCATTCATCAATATTCCACGGCCTCATACTCCTAATAGACGCCCACTTGAATCGAACCTTCATTCGACCCAGGAAGCCGTTCGCTGCGGCCAATAGCTCATCCCGGGTGGGCCGGTGCGGCATCTTTGGAATGTGCAAATATTTCGACATGGTGGATGCGATCGATTCGGCGTCAGGGTCCGGTGCGTCTGGCTTGCCCTGCTCCCCAGCCTTGGGGGTATCCTGCTTCGTCTGGGTTGTCGAGCCATTTTCCTCCTGCTTTCCGCTCTTGGAGCTATGATGCCTCCTTTCGGCCGGGTTCACGGCACCCCTCGGATCGGTATGTATGCCTCGTCTCCATGCTTGCCGGGCCAGTTGGTAGACATTCGACTTCTTCGTCAGACCGGTGTTCGTAGCTGATTCTGCAGCAACTGCGCAAGCTGCCGATGCTTGCGTGGGCGCGAGTTCTGTGGTAAACCCAACCAGCAGCAGTCCGCTGCCTGTATAGCTTCGTCGCGCATTGTGGATGTTCGGCCGAGGAAACGAGTGTTGTGACCCGGAGTGTATGGACCGTCTGAAGGTGTTCGGCCTAGGGAGGGAAGGGTTGACAGTAGATTGACTGGCTTTCAGACAGGTATTCCTCGTTGTCGCTGTTGTGATGGTCGTTCCTCGCAAACCCAGAGTCTGCGCCGATCCACAGGCGCAAGACCAGAAGCGACGCCCAAGAAGAGTCGACGAAGCGTTAGACATTTCTCAAGCTCATCCTGTCTCTTGGTTGAACAGAGAGACAGCAACAAGAAGAAAGAACGAGGAGGGAGGAGAAACGACCCTGTTTATTTACCGCAGCAACAAATGGACCAAAGAACAACACGGTCAGAGGGGTTGAAGCAAGACAAGTATCGAGGGAGGCACGGCAAATGTTAGCACATTTCATGCGCTCATGCAGAAATGACTGAGATGCAAAGCTGGGCCAGGGAAGGGCAAGCCTGTGAAAAGTCATCCATGACGCGCTACCGCAGCTCTAGGTACTTCGCTGAACCCGGCTGGACCCGTTCCAAAGGCACCTTACGTATGGGGCGTCCGCGCTTCCAGCAGAAAAATTCAGAGGCGCATCATGGCCCGTGCCTCGAGTCTGGGCCCAATGCTGGTCCTGGGCCTTCAGGCCTGTTGCTGGCTTGCTGGCTTGCTGACATAAGATCCGCAAAGGCTTAACGGTGCACGGTGCTAAAGTGCTTAGCCCATCAGGACCCCGGGGCCTTATCGCCTTATCGATAGCGAAACACAAAAATTTGGGAATTCGGCGATAAATCGATACTGGCTCACGACTGGCACCCGCCGCTTTTTTCTTCACGACCGCCTGCCCACCCCGCCAGACCGACTCGGCTCGATAGCACACAACCCAAGAGACACTACCACCACCGAAGCGATATACACACTTTCGATCGAACATTGTTGCCTTTCTTTCCGAATTCCTCGATATCATTTGGTAACCGAAAACGAAAAAACCTGCCCAACATGCCTGCCCCGACCGCCAAGCAGGTAGAGGTTTCTGCCCCGCCAATCGAGGCGACCTTCCAAGAACCTCAGCAAGACGAGGAGCTCCTCCTCGATGCGCCCACCCTCCCCGAGGACATGGACGCGATCCTGCCCAGCGTGCCGCAGAACGGAGAGGAGGGCGAAATGGTTGTCGACGAGGAGAACCGCCCGCGCTTTGCGCCCGCCAGAGACATTGTGCGACAGACCCTTTCCTGAGATCTAAGAGAACACTGGGAAAAACTAAGACGTAATCCGTGTGTCCAGGACCCCGTCACCAGAATAGAGACTCGCAAGGTCCCCGTGCCTCCTCACCGGTTCACCCCGCTCAAGTCTTCTTGGCCCAAGAGTACGCTTCATAGAGTTTCCTATGTCACGGCAATGACGCATCTGTGTGTTCTCTCTAACATTTTCTCGCTCTACAGTCTACCCCCCGCTCGTCGAGCACCTCAAGCTCCAGGTCCGCATGAACCCGCGCCGGAAACAGGTTGAGCTCCGGACCTCGAAGCACACCACCGAGGACGGCGCCCTGCAAAAGGGCGAGGATTTCGTCAAGGCATTCACCCTGGGCTTCGACGTTGACGATGCTATTGCGCTGCTGCGTTTGGACGATCTTTACAGTAAGCCGGACCCGATCTTTTGTCCGAATACCTAGGCAGGAAAAACTGACAGACTGTGTAGTCGAGACTTTTGAGATTCGCGATGTCAAGCAGGTTATGGGTAACGAGGCGCAAGGCCGTGCCATTGGTCGCATTGCAGGCAAGGACGGCAAGACAAAGTGTATGGAAAACATCCCGTTTGGATATAGAAACCCCCCTTTTTACTGACGTGAAACCTTTTCAGTCGCCATCGAAAACGCCAGCAAGACCCGTATCGTCCTGGCCGACAGCAAGATCCACATCCTCGGCGCATACAAGAACATCCACATGGCTCGCGAGTCCATCGTCAGCTTGATTCTCGGAAAGCCGCCCTCCAAGGTCTACGGCAACCTGCGGACGGTCGCGGCGCGCATGAAGGAAAGATTTTAAAGAAAGAGAAAAGGTTAAACAGCAAAAATCGATGGGAAATCCTCCCTCAGCTTGGACGAATGTCAAGGGCAAAAAAAAAAGAAGGAAAACACTCAAGGGAGGGGAGGGAATCATGGAAAAAGACTTTTCGTTTTTTTTTTTGGTGGGTTTAATGATTGGCATGAATGGCATCCTATCATGGACTTCTGGCGTTGTGGGCATTTTAGAGAGATTCCAAAATTTTTCATCCAGGACTAGGGGACAATGAAAAAGAAATTTTGAACAACGTCTGAGTTCGTGAACATGAAATGTGATATGTATGTGCTAGTATACACTACTAAAGGGTGATCATATATAAAGATATTCGCAAGGAGTTGGCTATTTCTGTATACTTACTTGCCTACGTGGAATAGAAGCAAGAACAAATTTAAATCAAGTAGGATTACAACATCTGATCTTTGTCCATGTAGGAGTGCAGAACGATTTACATTTCAATATTGATATCTGTCTCTGCGACTAACAAAAAGGCTTCCGACACCACTCTCCAAGGTTTCAACGATTCTTCTAGGCAACCTCATCAAGTCGTTGCCGATATGAGTTGCTAGTAGACAATTTTGCCTATCTTGCCGCCGCAAATCAAACAGGCACCATGACACAAAGGTCAAGTATGGGTCAAACAACATAATCTCTCCCATGTACCGGAACTCAAGTTACAACATCATCACAACCACAGCCAAGGCACAAAAAGTAAGAAATGTCCGTAATGCGTTACTCCATAGACGTCTATACGTGCCTAACCCCCCAAATCGAAGAAAGACTTTTTACATCATTGGCCACTCTACCCCGGCGGCGGCCCGACTTCCGTTGTCAAGCCATGCCTTTTATCCAGGCTGTCTCGGACTGGACTGGCATTAAAACCTTTTCCCACTCCCCTCTTTCCCTGACTCTCTCTCTCTCTCTCTCTCTCCATATCTCTCTCCGGCCTTGCCCCTATCTCTCAGCTACATGCTTCGAGCGTATTCAAATTTTCAGCCAAGTCACTCAAAACAAGAGGGTTTCTTGCTGTGTGCGTGTGTAATGTGATGCTCATGTTCATTTCGAGCAAACAGGGTTATTACTCTCCATGAGTAACCGCTTACTCCTCATCACCCTCACCCGCCTCGGGCACCTCCTCCGCCTCGTCGTCGCCATCGAGGCCGCCAGAGGGGAGCTCGTACAGGCGGAGGATGGACTTGTTGGGGTCCTTGACGAGGATGTACTTGCCGTCCTGCTCGCGTCTGAGACACATGTCGGCAATGGTGCGGACGATACCCCAACCGTTGGACAGAGACAGGTTCATCTGGTTGGCAAAGTCGCGCGGCTTCCAGCCGACGACGCCGAGGATGACGTGCTTGTCGTTGGACTTGGGGTTGGCGCGAGAAACGAAACTGTAGAGTATTTGTTAGCATCGTGTTCGGTTGTTTAAAGGCGATCAGTTCAGAAAAGATTAAAAAGAAAAAAACGTACCCAAGCTTCATGACGTCAGCACGGGCGAGGATGCTCTGCACCGTCCACCTGGCGAGCTTGCAAGAGTTGTTCTTCATCTCCGTGGCGACGACGGCACCGCGCTGGGAGACGAGCTTCGTCCGCCAGTCGAGGGCGCCACCGCTGCCCTGGGCCTTGTTGTCGAACTCGTTGAGCGCGTGCAGGGTGACGAGCTGGTCGTCGCCGCTGATGGCGTTCTTCTGGACGGCGTCGACCTCGGTACGGACGACGAGGTAGAAGTTGTCCTCCTCGCTGTTGGTGGAGAGGTCGAACTTGCGGTACTTGTAGGCCTTGCTGGCCGGCGGGTCCGTGTCCTCGGAGGCGTTGTAGAAGGGGTTGGCGTTGGCCATCTCGAGCTTCTGGCCCTCGCTCTCGACGACGACCTGGTTGGCAAAGTTGTGGTTGATGTAGGTGGCCTCCTCGGCCAGGGCGCCGGGCATGTTGAGGCTGTCCTTGGAGCCGTCCGAGGCGTCCATGGGGGAGTCGGCGGCGTTCTCGTTGACGGTGACCATGTCGAGCGCGGCGTTATCGCGCTTGTCGAAGAAGACCTTGTTGCCCTGCACGGAGATGACAATGTCCCAGGGGTAGACGGACCGCGGGGAGCACATGAGCATGGAGAGAATGCTGTCGGTGGCGAAGATGGAGGCCTCGTCCTTGTCGGCGAGCTCCTGGATCACGGGATCGGAAGAAGTCGTGACATTGTACGCAGCGCGGTCAATGGCGTTGAGCTTGCGCTCGAAGCCCTTGACGGCGGGCTTGTCGTAGGAGCGGTCGTAGTTGTAAACGAAGCCGTAGGCGTCAATCTCCTCACCCTCGTCGGCGTCCAGGTTGAGCTTGGCGAGGCGGTTGTAGTCAATCTCCTCGAGTAGCTTCCAGTCGGCCTTGATGTTAACACTGGCGTCACGGTTGCGGGCGGGCTTGTCGTAGTCCTTCCAGCCGAAGCGGCGGCCACCACGGCCACCGCCTCTTCCGCCCCGTTCGAAGCCTCCTCCGTAGCCTCCGCGGCCGCCCTGCTGGCCACCACGAGCGACGGTCGTCCGGCCACCGCGAGCGGTCTGAGCGGGACCTCCACGCTGGCCGCGGCCGCGGGTGAAGACGGCGCCACGGCCGAATCTTGTCTTGGTGCTGTCGCGGGTGTTGCTGACGACGGAGAAGGTGGACTCATCCTCGGCGGGAGGGGCGTTGAATGAAATGGCGTGGCCGGCACCGTAGACTTGTTGGTCTTGGAAGGAGGCAAGAGAGTTAGCGACGATGTCGTCTTCGCGGAGGGTTTCGTAGCTGAAGCTAGAGGAGGAAGGTAATGCTTACCACGGTAGTTACGGTTGTACTGCTGTCTGCCACCACGTCCGTCTCTGTCCTTGCCCTCGGAGGTCCAGTCGGCCATGCGACCAAGCTTGTCGCCCTTGGAGAAGGGCGCATAGGGGACACCGTTCAAGGTAGTCTCGGTGGTGACGGGCGGGCCCCAACCATCGCCGGCCGGGCAAGTCTCGACGAGCTTGACCCAGTCCATTTCCTGAGCCATGATGAAAATGATTTTTCTTCCTTGGCTATTGAGGTCGAAGTCGAAATCGAAATCGGTCTAGCTGTGCGTCTTTCGGTAGGGGGAAAGGGGGGTGGCAGCAGCGCTTTCGGGCTTCTGAAAGATGGAAAAGTCGTCAAGGGTTTGGGTGGTGCACACCTCCTCTCGCCGTTGATTTTCGTCGTTCGGATTTGGTGGGGTGAACTTTGTGGGGCAGAGCGGGCAAAATTTCAAAGTCTTGTGTTTCGACACCTGGCGGCGACTGACAGCCACTCGTTTCCACGCGACGCGGGCCACTGCCACTGCCAGCCACGACCAGCTGCATCGTGGCCGCGGAACACCACCACCTTACGCCTACCTATCTGCTCACAATACACAAGTCGTCGCTTAATACATCTCATAGCCTGATACAAAGTCCATGCTTTCACGATGTTCTCTCTTAGGGCTTTGGAAAATGTACATATCATTAAGGCCGTGGTATCAAAAGTAATCCCCAAGATTCCCAGAATACGCTCCAAATGTTTCTAGTTTGGGCCTCTTCTCACACCAAGTCATGCATTCAGAGATTCACTGAATCTCCTGATGAGGTGCCCCCATCTCGTTACCCGAGTTCATGCCAGACGCTCCTAGTAAGCGTAGTTCATCATTTCCGGTCCGGAGCAGAAGACGTTCTCCAATGCGTCCCGGACCTCGAATTCCTCCATAACGGCACCAAAACTAGTCACGATGAGTTTGAGCCACATGAGAAGTGAAGAGCAGCGTATATACGTACCCGTAGCATCGGACCTTGTCCTTGAGCTCGTCAGTGAGCTTCTGGAAATCCTCGGCACGAAGTTCGTGGGCCCTGGGGTGGCCCAAGACCATGCCCCAAGCCATGACCGGTGTGACCTCCCCATCGAGGTTCAGCTTCTTGCTGAGATCAAGCAGGGCCGAGAGGCTGCCTTTGCTCACTTCCCACGTCCTTTGCTGGGAGTCCAGGTCTCCGTTGACATTGCTGTACCCGAACGGAATGTCAGGTGTAAGCTCCGGGAAGGGCGCCGGGGGGCATGAGGCCATCAGCGCATGTCCGCAGGGCTCGCCGCCCATCTCGCTTGATCTCTCCAACAGCCAGGGCATGTGATTCATGCAGGGTTTCTCGAGACTGTTGCATACCCTCGATAAAATCGCACTCGTCAGCAAGCTCTTCTTCCGTTCGTTGCGATCATCGCTCACACCACCCGACTCCCGGTGATGTCCAGGACTTGGTGATATGACAAGTACTTTTCACTGCGGGGGAGGTGATAGGTATGCCTTCGAGGGCGAGGGATGGTGGTTATCGTACGTTAAGACGAAGTCAATGCCCGCTTGCTCAAAGTCCACACCTCTACCAGAGCTCTGCCCTTGTCTGTTTTGTTGCAGTTGCTGGCTGCCCATCTGGGGAAGGGGAGGGGGCAGACCGTGGGGGTAAGACGGACCGTGAGACGAAGGCGACACCGACGGCGCTGTCGTCGACGTCAAAGGTGGCGTGTAGGCGTTCTGGCCGTAGCTGTGGCCCGACTGGCTGGCGCTCGATGTGTAGCCTCCGCTAGGGTTGCTGACCATATCGTCACCATAGTGAGAAAGAGGGATTCCGTTCTGGACCAGGAGCTGCTTGAGTTGCCTGTTCTCCTCGGCCACCTTATCCTTGTCTTGCGATATATTGCTGAAGATTTCTTTCAATCGAAGGACCTCATCTTCCAGGGCCTTGATGTACAGCTCTTTTCTTTCACGATGCGTACTGTAAACTCCACCGTCAGTACCCCGGTCGTTTCGCTTCATTCTCCAGCGATATTGTTCGTCACTCACCGTTGTGCCTGTCTGTTCAATTCTTGTCGCCGAGTGAGAGCAGGTTTACTGTCGGGTTTCGGTCCTCTCCTTTTGGGTGTTTGGCCGTCTACGAATACGCATTATCAGACCAATGTCCCTTCTGGCACAGATATATCGTCGTTCCTACCTCGCGTCGTTCTCTTTTCTGTCAGGGACTTGAGGAAGCCCAAATTCAGGGAGCTCAGGGGCCCCCGCTCCTGGTCGGAGCCAGAGCCGCCGCCACCATACTGGCCCTGCGACGGCTGCTTCCCGTACTGGTCAGGCGACAACGAGGAAGCCATCGCTGCCCTCTCGTGAAGCTCGCCCACAGACTGTTTGCGTGCCGGAGACGATGACTGGTTCGGCGGAGAGCGATAAGCTGCTAAATTTCCTAGGTCAGTCATTGTGTCGTTCTAGAACCATTGCAACGAAGAGAGAAAGGGTTTAAGAAGCGCAGCAATTCATGTCGTCATGTGAAAGGGGTAAACACCAAGGCTATAGCGGGGGGTCATGTCTTTACAAATACGTCTCGATTCGTGGCGTACCCGACCAGCCGGAGCTGACAATATGACTTGAAGGGCTTACCTGGGAAGATTGGATGCGCGATGGTCAGTTTCCCACTTGGACTGACAGTGCGATGCTGTGTGACGGTGGTTGTCGTCCGTTAAAGCAGGGGATGTTGCGGTGGAAAGGGATCGAGCCGTTCACGGCTGTATCATGCGCTGTGCTCTTCCGAACCACGATTATGGTTATTTGAGAAGCTCTTCTCGAACGTGAAACCCAATTCTGGCGTCCGAGCTGTCTGAGGATGCTATGCGGTTGCGACGAGGGGACGAGCAGGGCGCGGGGAGTAGAAGGGTCGGGGTAGGCTAGGTAGATTAATCCGCCCTGTTTTAGAATTGTTTGACACAGTCCAGACGAAGAGGATGGATGTCGTGCGTCCGGGGGGTGGTTGGACGGTTGCAGTCTGGCTTTTTCTGGCTCCGGCTCAGGTTCAGTCTCGATCAAGCAAGCTTGGGCTCACAGTTATCCTGGACCTGAGGTAATCACTGTCCGCCTAACAGCTTGGGGTTGGGGACGGGCCTGGGGTTGGTTGGTTGGGGGGGGGGGGGGGAGTCTGGAAATGAGTTGGAACTTTGGAAGATGGTAGTAACAGAAAAGGGCAGAGGTGATAAGGAGAGAACGGATGACGGCGGAGCGGAGAAACCACCAAGAAGGTAAGGTAGAAAGACGGGGGCGCGTTAAGAGCCCTTGGTTTCGTCCTTTTGCTGTGGCTCTCTTCTGTGCTGGTGGCCAATGTTTGTCGCGAATCGAGATGACAAGAGGCAGCGCCACCGCCCTCTTCTAAGACAAGATGGCGGAACTTGGAAGTCGAGAGCAGCAGGCGAAGGCGGGCGGGCGGCCAAGGCGGTCGTTGGTCCAGTCAGGTCAATCAATGAGGAAGCCCAACGAGTTTTGGTAGGTACGTCGTCTGGATGAGAGCAGCGAAAAGGATGATGGGAGGGTGAATGAATATGCGGGGTTTCAGCAGCAGCAGTACGCAGCAGTACGCAGCAGCCCGTCCCTCGGATCGAATCGATGTTGAGCCCCTCAGTAATAATGATGGCAATGAAGGGAGAGAAAATCACAGTTCGGCTAGCTAACAATAGGCGTTCGCAACTCTGACTTGGAAAGCCTTAGGTGGGCAGTCTGTTGGTCTTCCTAGTTCATACGTAGTAGGTAGAGGCTTCCAAGAAGACCCCGGAGACGGATCCTTGCGACAAGGCCGAATGCCAATGGGTCCCCCCCAGTCATCAAGGCTCGAAGGTACCTTAGTTAGGTGGTGCTGACTTGGCCTAGGACTTGAACGATCAAGTCCGATTTCGTTGCTTTTTCGGAATCATCGGCGGTTCCACGCACTTCTGTCCCCTTAGTTCATCTGCCTTACCGCGAGAGAAAGAACGTCGGCTGGACTGGCAGTCTGGCGAAGCTGACGAACAGAAGCCCCTCGAGAGTCGTCACCGGATAGGGCTATGCTATGTCGAAGAGCGACTTGAGCAGCTTGCAGGGGCGAGCTCTAGCTATGGTGAGGCCGAGGAGAAGCGGCACGCGGCATAGCCAGTACTAACTGTGTGACAAATATTGGAATTTTGTGTTGGCGCCGGTACTGACATAGGCGGGGGGTAAGCAAGGCGCCTTCCGTGGACGGCGGGCGACGGTTCCTGGTCTAGACCCTTAAGCCTGCGATCCGTTGGCGGTTGAGTGAAGACCAGCAGCGGCGTGCCCGTGGCTGGCCCCTCTCTCTGTCTCTCTCACGTCTCTGTCTCTGTATCCGTATTGTGATATTGAATCATAGCACCTAGTCTAGAACCCACGTACCCAAGCTATCGAATGCTCCCAGTATCGGCTTGGCTTTGTACGAACGAACGGCCCGAGGGCAGACCGAGTATGGCTGAGAAAAGGAGGCTTCAGAGGCTTCCAAGTTCCGCCAGAGCGCACAAAGTGCTGCACCGGACAAGCGGGGAGGAATAGAGGGGTTCCCATTCGCAGCTCCCGTTCTAGGCCAAGTTCACGTCGCATTTGTGAGCGAATATTCGTCCACGGGTGCCTCGACCGTTATCCTCATTCCTCTCCGCTGTTCACTTTCCGACAACAAAGAGTAGATAGATAGTCTCAGTAGAGACATGGATCGAGAGCCTCGGGTGCGCCATTCGGCCCTCCTTACTGCTGCTGTTGCTTCGTCTGCCTGGAATGCTTTCGTGTGGCTTGACTTGCTTGACTCGGCGTCCCATCCACCTACGCTCCAGTTCTCCTCCCCAGCGCCGGCATCAACTCCGTCTCCAAAGGACCAACAGTCCTCCAAACTCCAACCACGAGTCCCCAATTCAGACCCAGACCCTGAGACCCCTGGCGGTAGGCGAGGAGCATGTTTGCTTGTTTGCTCGCTTATCAGAATTGCTCATCTTGGAATCGTCAGATTACCATGCACGAGAGCCCTCGCCAGACAGAAGTAGAAGCCCATACGTCCGTACGGAACGTGTCACAATTCTGACCCCTTGCTAGACCATCACTTCTCCATGGCAGATGCACACGTGCGAGCTTGCATTTCTGCTAGCCAGCGGCGCGTCCATGTGTCTGGTCGCGAGGCAATCATCTAGCCTGCGAATCTCTGCGCGTAAATCCCATCTCTCCAGTCTCCCATCCACACAGACCTCGGTCCAATGGCCGCGTCGACATCGGACGAGCCGGAAAAAAAGCCAAGAGTCCCTTAACTGGACCTCATACTCAAAGGCCTATTTTGAGCATTTTGCAAACGCACATACGACTGCTTATATATGCAGCCAACCTTGACACTCGAGCACCCCTCTGTCTGTGTGCCCAGTGTGCACATCTCGTCCCATGTCGAGTGAAATTCGGCACGTCGTAGAGCTTTCGGGTGCTTCAATGCTGGCACTTGGACGTCTCACTCGTCCCTTCGAGACCTTTCGGGCTCGGCCCATGTGATTAACGGCCAGGAACGTGAAATCCCTGTCTTTGAGTGGTTTGGAGGGGTTTTCCTCACTCACGTAATTGAGTTAAGCCCGCCGTTTGTCAGTCGGCCCACGGAGATCATTCATTGACCTCTGCCAAAAGTCCATGCCGTCATTTTATCCCGTTTAGGAACTTGGGCGGGACCGGACGTCTTTGCTAGCAGAAGCCAGCCACAGTAGTATCGTGTTTCCTTTTCCCCGATCCCCATGCTGTCGCAAACATGTCCTGTGAGAAGATCCTCAGCCCACGATTGCCACACTTTAGAGCTTCCTCCTCGTTGGCAGCAAGGAATACGGCTGTAATTGTGCTCATCCACTGAGCGCGAAGAGGAACGCGCATCTCTGAGACGAGTGAACCCCGGATCATCGCCCGCTCGTTCGAAACCTTCACCCTTGATCTGCTGGCCTAAAGGTCACGCGCGCACGCGGCTCCCTTTCGAAACATCCCTTGGTCTAGGGCAGGGTGTCTTGGGCTGTAGATCGGTTCGCCGCGCTTCGGCTCGCCCACTAGACGGCCAACCTTAATCTTTTCTTTTGGGACGTCGCCAGTTGCGAAAGAACTCAGAGTGCAATCATTTTCGTGCATCGATTCATCTTCTTACGCCTCGGTCTCGGATTCCACTAAAGAGAGCCCTGACGATTGACTTCTCAACGGCCATGGCTGGCCACGGCAACGTGTTCACTCACTTCCGAGGAGCTGCCATTCTAGCGCCGTGGGTTCTTTGGTTGCTTTTGGCAGATACCGCCATCTCACTCCAGCTCCCGCTGAAATGGCTCGCTCCGGATTTCGTGTATGACTCCTCGTCACGGATCGCCGAGACAGTGTGGTACTGGATCCAGATCATCTTTGAAAGATATAATGGCGCCAACATTACATTTTCCGGCGATGCCCTTCCCCGCGGGGAGTCGGCTGTAGTAGTCGCCAACCACGTCGGATGGGCGGACTTTTACATGATCCAAGCTCTCGCGATCAAGGCCGGGATGCTGGGCCGTTGCCGTTACTTTGCCAAGATCCAGCTGCGGATAGTTCCATTTCTTGGTTGGGGTTTGTGGGCGATGGGTATGCCCATGGTGAGTCGTAACTGGGCCAAAGACAAGCATGAGCTTGACAGGGCATTCTCGGGTATCGTCAATAGGCAGTGGCCGACCTGTAAGTCCATCAGTTGACAGTCTTTTCCGTCCAGTGCGGACGCCTTACTGATGATGATAAATAGGGCTCATCAGCTTCAGCGAGGCCACTCGTTTCACACAGAAGAAGTATGAGCAGTCAATCGTCTGGTGCAAGGAGTCGGGTCGACCGCAGCCTATGCATTTGCTGTATCCTAGGACAAAAGGATTCATTACCACCGTCCAACACCTCAGGAAGGCGGCCCACGTGAAGGCCGTGTACGATGTGACGATTGCGTATCAGAGAGGAAAAGACTTCCATGCGGCGCCGACCATGTGGGACACTTTGAGCGTGCCCTGGCTGAGCTCTCGACTTGGATACAAGTTCCACGTCCATGTTCGCAGGTTTCCCCTCGAGAATCTACCGACAGATGACGAAAAGCTGGCAAAGTGGCTTGAGAACCTCTGGGTAGAAAAGGGGGAATGGCTGGATGTGAAGAAGGCCGAGTGGGCTTCAATGACTTGAAGCTCTTTGACACGGTTTTCACGGCCAAGCCGGGGAACCGTCTTGGAAAAGTGAAGATTGGAAATGGCATGTAGTCCGTCAGTGTACACGTGACGGATAGACAAGTCGGCCATAGTACCGGGAGGTGAAAATTGCCGTCTAAGGTGGTTTTTGAGGCAGTCACGTTACTCCTCCCCTTCGGAGCGGCCAGATTACGGAAAGCGCTCTGCAATGGCCTTTCCATAATATAATAAAAACGTATCAATCAATCCTGCTGCTTTCGTCTGTTCCTCCTCTGATGACTTCTATGCTTGTTCTAAAGGGAAAGAGACAACTATTCTCAGATGCCGGGCGTTGATATTGGTTCGCTATTCGGGCCATCACGACGGTTGCGAATACGCGACACTCTTGTGCAAAAGGATCGTGACGAGAGCGCACGCAGAGACTTCCTTATATTCAGAATTTGGGTAAACAGTTTATGACAGCAAGGCTCCGTCCAGTTCTACGCAGTCGCAGATATTGTGGCACCATTCATTCGCGGTAAAGCACACAATCATTTCCCATGCTGGCAAGCGTTCTATCACAATCGTTGAAGTGTTGGCTAACAGTCAATGAGCAGGAACTAACTTTGCCCTGGTCGATGAACAAGTTTCAACTGACTAATGAACTTTGTTGGTGTTCTCACTTCTGCAAGGGGGCCGGCCGAACAGGACTAGGTCGTTCGGATACGAAGCACACGAGGATTGCTTCCCTCGCACAGAGCTAGGGAAGTTTCGTTGGATCAATGTTGTCATGTGTAATTACTACCACAACTCCCACAGCTCCTCATATTACGTCTTGATGACGGACGATCGTGCTCATTCTCATCGGTCCAGTTGAGCCGAGACAGGCTGATGGTCTTATCTTGTTGTCGAATCATCGCCTTTGCCGCTGCTGTGTCACCTCGAGCTTACCATGCGTACCCATTTCCTGAATGCCCCAGCGTTCTATTAGATGTTGTTGGATCACATGTCGCGCCTTTCGAAGGAACCGTTACATGATATCTGCATTGGCAAATGGACTTGATCGTCTCTCGAGTGTCAACGAGACATTATCAAACGTGCTCCGTGTGGTTTCATTGTTTCTTGCCATTGCTCAGCGAGTATTCCGCAGAGGTTCTTGGTGTGAAGACATGCTGGGCTGCATCTAGTGAGAGATAGACATGTCTAGATGAAAAGCCTCAGCCTATAGATATCAGATACAATTGTGGACAGCCATGGTAGTCTTTCACATGCAACACCATCTCATCTTGTATCAAATGTATCAAGCACCCCACGCTAGATAAGCACCTTGGAAGCAGAGCCGCGTCCGCCAGGCTGGGCATCCAACCATCATTGCCAACCCTTATCTCGAGATGCATACCTATCACCTCTACCAAGCCACCGTCTCATACAGGATGGTCTTATCATCCTTTCCCGCATCGTCCACGTGATTTTTATGGGCGTCGGACAACCCTTGGGGTAGGCTCGACTTGAAGAGATTAGCCTATCGGCCGGGACAACCTCGTTCGCCGTTCGAAGTGTAGCGAGCTCGTACTCTGCGACAGAAGTTAATCCAGGACCGCCCGAATGTTC